ATTTTTTTGTTAATTAATTTGTCAAGCCTAAAAAGAATATACTAAATTTTTAATTACTTTTTTTTAATTTTTAAAAATCAGGATTTTGTAAAATTTCATTTGCCTGATCAAAACAAATTTAATTTCAAAATTTATGCTTTAAAACAAAATATTCGTGACAGTTATTTAGCTAACAACTTTAATTTTACTTATTTTTTTGATCCTCAAAATCCTTATGGAAATATTTATTGGTATCAAAGTGATGAAGAAAATTTTGAAAAACAAAGAAATGCTTCCCAAAATAATTGTAAGAATTTTAAAAGAAAATGGGAAAATTTAAACTTTAGCATATACGATTATTAATTGGCCTATTTTAATTATTCCCGTTGCGATTTCTTTTTTTATTGGGTTAGCTGCTGTTTTTGTTATTGTTTTAATTCGTTATCGTCGTTGTGTTTGTAAATTACTTTGGTTAAATAAATTGGAACAATTAAAAACAGAACATATTTATACAGCTTATCAAAATATTCAAAATAATAAAAAAATTGAAAATAATTGGAAAGAAGTTAAAGAAAAAATGTAAATTCTTCTAAATTAAATAATAAGCTTAAATTTTTGTTTGAAGAAGAGATTGTTGGGAGCTTGATTGGGATCAAATAATTTTTACATCTGAACAATTAGGAAAAGGTAGCTTTGGAGAAGTAAGGAAAGGTATAAATAAATAAGTATATTATAAAATATTTAATAATAATTAAGGAATATTGACTAAAGTAGAGCTTAACTCCCCATATTTTGGTTGTCAACTAAATAATATTCGAGAAGGATCACCTATTGCAGTAAAAATCCTTTCTGATCATTTAATTGAACAGGAACGACAAAATTTTTTATGTGAAATGGAAATTGTAAACAAAAATTAATTTTAATATAATTTTAAGACAAAAATGAGGAATCTATTAGAAATTTGAGAGAATTTTAATTTTTATTTACCATTTTATTTCATCATTAAATAAAATAAAAAATTATATTTAAAATATATAGATGAAATTATTGAGAAATTCCCATCGTTGTATTGTCCAAATGATTGGATGTATAAGTATACCCGATACTACTCTTGGTCTTGTACTCGAATTTTGTTCTAATGGAAATTTATTAAATTATTTACGTAAATTATCTGAAGAACAACAAAAATTGGCAAAAGAAAATAAAATTAAAATTGAGAAAGAAAATGAAAGGATTAATAGTGATTTTATGCGTTTTTCATGGCAAATTTGTGATGGAATGGTATTAAAAATAAATTAGATGGTTATAAAATAAATTAAAAATTAAAGAAATTCTTGTCAGAAAAACAAATTATTCATAGAGATTTGGCTGCTAGAAATATTCTTTTAGATGATTTTATGGTTGCTAAAGTAAGTTCTTATAAGGTAAATTAAAAAATAATTATTAATTAAATTAAAAGATATCCGACTTTGGTCTTTGCATTTTTGATAATTCAAAAAATTTGTCTAATTTTGAAAACCCTTCAATTCGATTAAAAACAATTTTAAACAACAGAGAAAAAGGCCAATTAAACGAAAAATTGCCTTTAAAATGGTTAGCACCAGAAAGTTTGTCTGAAAAGAAATTTTCAGAGAAGAGTGATGTGTATGGTTTTAAAAAAGATTTTTTAATTAAATAAAAACTTAGATGGTCATATGGTATTCTTCTTCATGAAATTTACACTTATGGCAAAAACCCTTTTGATGCCATTGAAAGAATTTCTTTATTAGAACAAATAATTAAATACAAAAATAATATTCAAAAACCTTCAATTTGTCCAAAAGAAATGTTTGCAAAATTCTTTAAAATAAATTAGGTATATATTTTTTAAGATTTGAATTGATGATTGAATGTTCTAATATTGAACCAGAAAAGAGACCAAATTTTGAATTAATACGAAATAAACTTTCTTTTCTTTTGGAAAGAGAGACAGGTAAAATAAAATAATAATTCTTAAATTATGTATACCGTATTTTCTCGATTAATTCCCTGGGGAATTATTTTTTCAACCCTTCTTTGGCATGGGGAATTAATCGAGGGAGAGGAAATATTCGAATTTTGGCATTTGAACGTGCAGTAGGGTATTTGGGTGTGGGGAATTATTGTCTCAATCCAACTCTAGCATGGGGAATTAATCGAGAGGAGGAATTTATCGAGAAAATACGGTAATTTTAGAAAATTATGGATATATTTCACTCAAATGATGATAAAGAAAAATATTCAAATTAATTTTTGTCTAATGAAAATATAAATACATACATATATCCCATTTTCAAAATGTTCTTAAAAGTATAACATTGAAATAGTGGATTTTTGTTATGTTAAAATTATTTGTATCTCATTGTATGCCTCGATTTATAAACAATTTATAATACATATTAATCGAGAGGAGGAATTTTGTTAATATTTAATATTATTTAATTTTAATATTTATTTAATTTTATAAAATTTCCACAAATTTATTATTGTCTTTAGATTTTTTTATTCATTTTTTCTCTATCAATAATGAAGCGTTGGTCTTCCACCAATATATTTTCTTTGGATGTTGGTAGATTTAGTGTAATGATGGCGTCCAGGTAATGCTGGTCTTGGCTCTAAATGTGCTCGATAATCTGGACCTTGATGTTTTTGTTCTACTCGAATATATGGGCCTTTAGTGAAGGTATAGCTGTCTATAGCTGGTTTACTTGACCAGCTATACTCACGCTCTGTTACAATACGATCTGCAGGAGGTCCGGCACTTGGACTACGATATGTGGATGAATGCCAAGATGTTGTTTTATTTCCGATACTTAAATTAAATAAATATAAAGTTTATGTCGTAAATTTGTATCTAAAATTTAACACACCGTGGTATGTGCTTGTCACCTCCTCCTGTAGTTCTATATTCATATGAATATGTTGACATTTTTATTTTTTAATAAAAATTAAAAATTAATTTTCAAACTATGATTTAAAATAAAAAAAAATTAAATTAAATATTTAATTTTTAGGTGTTTAATGAATGAATGAATCAATTTGTTTAAAAAATATATTCTTATTTAAATAATATTTTTCTCTCCTCCTACTTATTTTATAAAAAAGGATTGTCTTTATAATATTTAACTAAATCGAAAATAAAAATTTAATCGAAAACTAGTTTTTAAAATAATTGACAGGTCTTAATACAGCTGATTTAATGCGAGAATCACATGCTTTTATTTAAAAAAGAAAAGAGTACGACAAAAAATCTAATTAAAGAAAAATCCCAATTATGTTCAAAGACTAAAAAATATTTTAAAAATTTAGAAATGTTTAAATAATTAAATGTAGAAATTAAATATTTAAAATATTAATTTAATAATTAAATAGTCTTTTTCATATTTTACTAGCTCTATTTATCTACAAACAAATTTAAAATAATTTTTGCTTGAAGTAGTTGTTAGAATAAAGAAATGTCAAAACAATTGTTGTTAAAATAATTAATATTTGAGTGAAGTTTTACACGCTTAATTGAAAGTTGACATACAGAAAGAATATTAAAAAATAACAATAAAATATTTAATTTTAATTTTTAATTTTAATAAAATATTTATGTAACCCCGAGTTTATTCTAATGTTATAAAATATTATTTAAAAATTTGACTGATTCAGAAATAGATAAAAGAATTTTTTGTTACTTTTTTACTAAAAAATATATTTATTTTTTATCTAAATTAAAAATTCTATTTAGTAACACTAAAATGCCACAATGTTTGTGTAGAGTAACAACACCAATTAATTTTTGATGTCATTACTTTTTTCTTAAAAGCAGTAAGGCGTAAAGCCGATAATTAGATTTATTTGCCATAGACTCACGTAACTGGAATGCAAAAAGTATTGTTTTTATTAGAGATTTTTTTTGTTGAAACAAATTTGTTAGTTTCTGATAATTTTTAAAAAAAGTACCTATATATTTTTTTAATTTAATTTTTAAAAATTATTTTTAAAATAAATATTTTTTAATCCTTTAATCGTTAATTTAAAATGATTAATAAAAGACAAGCTTTCTCATCTGGCAATTCAACAATTCAAAGTAATAATAGTTCAAGTAACAGAATGAGTGGAAATTTCCATTCAAGTCAAAAAAGTAAACGAAAATTGGTTAGATTACAAAGACAACATTGCATAATTGGTTAATTAATTTAATTTAAAATTATTTTTATTTTAAAGATGATGCTCCTTCTGAAGAAAATTCTGTTGGAAACGATTTTTGGATTGGTGTTGCTCCTTTGTTGGATATGGCTGGAACAGCAAGAATTTTAGGTGTTTTTATTTATTTAAATTTATTTAGAATGTCTGAGAGAGAGAGAAATTTTTATTTAATTTACTAAATAATATTGTTTACGTTCATTTTTTTTTATTTTTGTTTTTATTTTTCTGTTAAACTTTTCATTTTTTTTATTTAATTTAATATATAAACTCTGTCCTTTTATTAGATCATGACAAATTTTAAAAAATATAAACAAAAATAAATAGTGTATTTTTAAGATAAAAAACTAAATTTTTAATATTTTTTAAATCTTTTTTTATCCAACTACTAAATAAAATCAAAATGTAGAATCAATATTTTATATTATAATTACTCCATTTTCATTTATTGTTTGCTTTAAATAAAGGCAGTAACAAAAATAAAAACGTCGAAATTTTGGCTAAATGAGTAATTTTCTGGATTCTGAGGGGAGGGAGGAGAGGTATGGCAGCAATTTTGGCCCATCAGACTTAATGAGTTGGCAAGGAGCAATGGGCGATGGCCAAAGGCATTTATTTGTTGGTCTAAACACTTCCACAAAATTTTGTCTGAACATTATAAAAAAGATGTGGGAATTGTTTTTGTTTACCTTTCTCTCTATACTCTCTTTTTTATTTTATTTGGACAATTCTTAACTTTAAATTAAATTTATAAAAAAAAATATTTATTTATTTATTTTGAAGCGTGCAAAGCTGCGAACATTTCCTCTGCAATGCTAGCACACAGAAGAAAATCATCTGCACTTCCAAGTATCGGCTGCGGGGGTATTCATTTTCCTCCTCCTTCAGCATATTGTGGGAAAAAATCATCAGGAGCAAGCAGCATTTTGTTAACAAATCCAAAATGGCAACAAGTTTGTGTATATATATTTTTTTAAATTAATTCTTTCTTTCTGTTAAAGTATGAACTTCATCACCACCCATCAACTTCAATGCAGCAACAACCTCAATTATCAAATGCCCCTTCATCTCATTCTGCAATTGCTTCGGCAGCTAACCGTCGTCAAACAGCTCGGGAATCTGTTGCAATTTTAGCTGAAAGTTGGGGTGTCTTTGCTGTTGACCCAAATGCTGCTTCTGCAAAAGAGGAGATAACTGGTAATAAAATAGTAATATAATTATTGTTTTTGTTGAATTTTGGATAAAATATTTGGGCAAATATTGTTGAATAAACAAAAAAAATTTTTCTTATCCTTTTAACTAAAAGAAGGAAAATTATGGTAATGAATGTGATGATGATGAGTGTTTTTAGTAGAAATGCAAAAATGAAAGAAGAAACGTAAAAGAGTCAATTCTTATTGTTTTTGATGAAAAGTAAATATAAAAAATTAAATGAATTTAGAAGTAAAATAATATTATTTTAAAAATATTTTTATTTTGACATTTAAATTTTAGAAAAAATTTTTCAGAAAATTTACTTTGTTTCATGGGGCTTTTTGAATTTACTCTTAAACTTGCCTGTTTAGCTTCGATGATTTCTGTTTGTCTACATACCCCTCACACAATTAGTCAATGGCCTTCATTGCTTTATTGGCTATTAATTGTAAATAAATAATTTAAATTTTTAAAAGAAATATTTAAATTAAGAATGATATTTTCTGTACAACAATATTCTCGATTGATTTACTTTTAAAGGTCAAAAATATTTTAAATTTAAATTAAATTATAATATTTTTTTCTTCCCTAATTCACAAAATAAAATTTAAAAATAATTAATTTTTAAAGATAAATACAAAAACTATATTAAAAGACCGTTGGTGTCAGTTTGACTTGACTATTTTATTTTTTCATTACGCATCTATTTGTATTCATTCTGCAGAAATTTCTGATAAATTATGGCCTTGGTTAAATATTAAATATGAGGGATGGTTTGTATTTTTTAAATGAAAATAATTATTTTTTAAAAAAAAGGTGGGGGGCTGTACGTTCACCCAGACCATTTATTATGTTAAAATTTATTAGATCAATTATTCGTTTTAAATTGCCACGTAATAGAATTCAAATGATTATAAAGTAATTAAATATATACTTAAAATATTTTAATTAATTTAAATTTAAATAAAAGGAGGTCTTCTCAACAAATTCAAAATGTTTCCATTTTCTTTTTATTTTTTATAACTTTTTATGCAATTATGGGAGTACAACTTTTTGGCCGGATGGAATTTCATTGTGTTCTCCCAGGGACTGACCCTAATAATGTTACAATTGCTGGTAAATTAAAAAGAAAATATTTAAAAGAGAAGAGAAATAAAAATTATTTTAAAAATTAAATGAAAATAATTTGGCTTTTGTCCAGTTTCTACAATCAAAATTTATTAAAATTTTATATGTCCAATAAGAAACTTTGTATTTACATACATGTATCTCTTCCAATATATATTTTCAAAAACAATATTAGATCTAAAAATTTCTCTATACTTGACCCTTTAACTATATTGCTCAACAAGACCAAAAAAACCAAAATAAAAAAAAATTAATTCAAATCCTATAAATTGTATAGGAGCTCATAATTTTAAATTAAATACGTTTTTATTTATTTATGGGGTATTTTTTTCAGATCTAGCTATTCCTGATACAATGTGTTCTCCAGATGGTCAAGGATATGAATGCCCGCCAACAATGGAATGTATGAAACTTTCTCTACGTGCAAACCAAATTGGTTTTAATTAACAAAAAATTATTTAAAAAATTAAATTATTAAAGGTTTTTATGGAATGTTTAATGATTTTGGTATATAATAAATAATTTAATATAATTAAATTTTTATTTTTTTCAGCATCTAGTTTATTTACTGTTTATTTAGCAGCCTCTCAAGAAGGCTGGGTTTTTGTTTTATATGATACTCTTGATACTTTTCCTTATTATTTTGGTCTCTTTTATTTTATTACTTTAATATTCTTTTTGGCTTGGCTAGTTAAAGTATTTAATTTTAATTAAATTTAAATTAAAAAATATTTTTTAGAATGTTTTTATTGCTGTTATAACAGAAACTTTTGCTGAAATTAGAGTTCAATTTAGTGAAATGTGGCAAAGTAGAGAAGTACCTCCCAATAATAGAAATCTAGATAATATTAATCAAAATGTATTATGAGAATTTAATGAAAAAAAAAAGATTTTTTTTTAAATTTATTTTTAGAAATTAGAAAAAGATGAAGAAGGAGATTGGCATATTAAAGAAGTTGATTCTAAATTATTAAATTTTGGGGTAACAGAGAGGGGAACATTTAGACGTCTATTACTTGCATTTATATGTTCAACAACCTTTCAAACTTTTATACTTTTCCTTGTGTAATATTTTTTATAAAAATTAAATAAATATATTTTTATAGTGTAATAAATGCTTTAATTAATTCATCTTTTGTTTATCAAAATAATCGGAGTGATATTTATCGAAAAAGAATTTATTTTTATATTGAGGTATTTTTATATTTGAAAATAAAAATAATTTTTTTCAGTCAATTTTTACTTTAATTTTTTGTATTGAATGTTTAATTAAAATATTTGGACTTGGATGGAATGTTTTTTGGCGTAGAGGACAACATAAATTTGAGTTATTACTTTGTTGTGGAAGCATTTTAAATATAATTCCAAAACTTTATAAAACAAATTATTTTACTTATTTTCAAGTTTTTCGTCTTTTACGATTAGTTAAATTATCCCCAATGCTTGAAGATTTTGTTTATAAGGTGAACCGCAAATTAAAATCTTTGTGAATCTGAAACGACCCAAAAATTTTGGGGTATGGCCAGGAAGTGGAAAATTTCTGGAGATTTTTTTGATTTTCAGAACAGGATAAGATAACCGAGCCGGAAAATCTTCGGTCCTTAGATTCGATTACAAATCTTAACTATTCACACTTTTACACCTCTGACAATTTATTATTTTTAGAAGAAAAGAAGTTAAGCGAAAATTCGGGGAAATTTAAAAATAAAATTTATTTACATTAAACTTTATTTTTCAGATTTTCGGTCCGGGTAAAAAACTTGGAGGGCTTATTTTATTTACTTTAACATTGGTAATGATTACCTCAGCAATTTCTTTACAATTGTTCTGTTATGTGTCAGGATTAGATAAATTTAGAACTTTTCCTCAAGCTTTTATGTCAATGTTTCAGATAATTACACAGGCAATAACAAAAAAAAATAATAATTTTTTTATAATAATTTGTTTTTAAAGGAAGGATGGACAGATGTTGTTGTTGAAATTTTACGTTCAACAAATGAATATTGGGTACCTTTTGTTGCAATTTATTTTGTTGGTTATCATCTTTTTGTTACTTTAATTGTTTTAAGTTTATTTGTTGCTGTAATTCTCGATAATTTAGAAATGGACGAAGAACTTAAAAAAATAAAACAATTAAAAGCTAGAGAAGAAGTAAAAAGAATTTTTATAATTTAAAAAATATTTTTTAAAGACAACAACAATGCGTACACAACTTCCTTGGAGATTAAGAATTTTCGAAAAATTTCCATCTCGCCCACAAATGATTGAATTTAGAAAAATGTACATAAATATACATATAATTTTAATTTAAAAAAATTATTTATTTAAAGTTCTCGAGAATTTCCTTTACCCAAAATGAGGGATAGTTTTACTCGCCAATTCCTTGTCAATTTATCAACAGATTTTCTTGTTACTTCATCATCAAAAAAAGAAAATTCTAGAGGATATGCTAATAATAAGGAATTTTTAAATAAAATAACAAAAAATTCAAAAAAGGAAATAACAAAAGATAATCAAAAGTTTTTTAAATTTAAAAAACTTTTTTTTAAACAAACAAATCAAAATATGTCAAAGAAAGCTGTTGGAAATTTAATTGAGTTAATTAATTTATTTAAAAATGAGAATATTTTTTAAATATTTTGAAGTGAATCAAATAAACAACGTTCACTTCTTTCTGATACTTCTCAACATATTGGGGGAGTTAATGCTTGGATTAGAGGGGCAATTGGAGGAGTAACTAGAAGAAGACGTGAACAAGAAAATCAGCAACAAAAAACATTTTCTTTCCAAAATGTTGAAAATAAAAAAGAAAATGGGGGAGATATTAGTAAATTAATTGATACTGCCCCTAAAGAGAATACTGGAATTAAATCTGGGGGATTAGATATTATTGATATTAAAGCATTACAGAGGAAAAGGGATCAAGCAGAATTTACTAGGTTTTTTTCTTTTGAGAAATAAAAACAAAAAAGAAATTTTAAAGAAATCGAATAGAAGAAGAAATGAGAGAAAATCATCCATTTTTTGATTCCCCTCTTTTTATTGTTGGAAGAAATTCAAGACTTAGAAGATGGTGTTTGTTTATTGTTGAAGCTAAATATTGTATTATAGACGAACAAATGAATGGATCATTTCGTGGAATTAATAATTTTAAAAATATTTCTACAGCTAGAAAACCCCTTGTTTCAGTTTAATTTTTACTTAAAATTTAATTTAATAATTTATAATTAGTTAAATAAATATAAACAAATTAAACAATTAATTGGATTACTTACTTATTTGGATTGGACAATGGTTTTAATTACTTTATTTTCATGTTTTGCTATGCTTTTTGAATCTCCTTGGCCTATTTCTGGCGAAAATATGATTTTTAAAAATAAATATTTTGAGGTTATTTGAAAGAAATGTGAACATATTTTAATTTTTTAAGGCCTGTGATTTTATTTTTGTGTTAGCAATGAGTATTGAATTAACACTTAAAATTGTTGCTCATGGACTTTTCTTTACCCCAAATGCTGTTGTTCGTGATGTTGGTGGATTTGCTACACTTTTTATTTTTGGAAGTTCTTTGTGGTATTTAATTTGGATGCCAAAATATGTTCAAGAAAATTCATTTGCACAATTTTTAATGATTTGTAGAGCTATGGTTTGGTAGAATATTTTTAAGAAAAATAATTTTTTAATTTTATTTTAGCGTCCACTTCGAATTTATACTTTAGTTCCGCATATTCGACAAGTTGTTGTTGAACTTTGTAAAGGATTTCGTGAAATTCTTTTAGTTACAATTCTTCTAATTCTTTTTATGTTTATGTTTGCAAGTTTTGGTTTGCAATTTATTGGTGGAAAGTTAGCTGCTTGTAATGACCCAACAATCACTTCTAAGGCAATTAAAATAATAAATTTAATTAAAAAAATTCTTTTCAGAAAAATTGTGTTGGACTTTTTGAACAAAAATTATTTGTTACGAGAATGGAAGTTTTTGGAAAAGTTCTTTATATATAATTAATTTTTATATTATATTTTTTAAAAAATAGAATGATGAAAATCTTCATCCAAAAATGTTGGTTCCTCGTGTTTGGTAAACAGATAAATATTTTTTTAATTTTATTTTTTTAACAAAAAAAGGACAAATCCTCGTAACTTTAATTTTGACCATATTGGTAATGCAATGCTTGCTTTATTTGAGACACTTTCATATAAGGGATGGAATGTTATTCGTGATATTTTATGGGCTAGACAGGCAAAAATAAATTATATATTTATTAAAAATATTAAAATTATTTTTGAGGGTCCTTGGGCCGTTTTATTTATTCATGTTTATGTATTTATTGGGTGTATGATTGGTTTAACTCTTTTTGTTGACGTTGTAATTGCTAATTATATGGAGAATCGGGGGACAGCACTTTTAACTGTTGACCAAAGAAGATGGCATGATTTAAAAGCTAGACTTAGAATGGCACAACCTCTTCATGTTCCTCCACGTCCTGCTGAATCCTCAAAAATTAGAAATCGGTTGAAAAAACAAATTTTAATTGAAATTTTCCAAATTTTATTAGACTTTATGAATTAACAACAAGTCGTTCATTTAAACAATTTTATGCAATTCTTGTCGTTCTTAATTCTGCTACATTAGTAGTACCCTGGAGCGTTGAAGAAGAAGAACAACGTCGAACACTTTTATTAATATTTACTTCGTTTGCTGGTATTTGTTCTTTCCTTTTTACTGTAAATTTTAATTGGAAAAAAAAAGTTTTTTAAATATATTTTAGATAGAAATTTTACTAAAAAGTATTGCATTTACCCCTCACGGATTTTGGCAAAGTCGTCGAAATCGTGTAGATTTATTAATTACTTGTGTCAGTATTTTTTGGTTAATTGCCCATTTTGGTATTAGCGAAGTTGCTTTACCTATTGTTTCTTTACCACCTTCACAGTTTAGAAGATTTACTTATACACTTGGTTATATTATTGGAATTTTACGTTTCTTTACTATAACTGGTAGAAAAAGTACTTTGAAAATGTTAATGCTTACAGTTTTGTGGTCTATGGTCAGATAATTATTATATTTTACTTTAATTACTAAATTAGATTTGGCAAAAAATATCTGATACTAACTTTTGGCTTGGCTAAAATCCTCCCCCCTCTCAACCCCTTTCAAATTTTTTCCTTTTGTCAATTTTTCAGAGCCACCCGTAGAAATTTTTAGGTTTAAAATGTTTACCTCCTTAATTCCTTAACAATTTTTTTCTAATCCTTTATCGGATTTACTGTGTGTAACCTTAATTAATATTTCTTTTTAATAAAAAAAATTTTAATTAAAAAAAGGTTCGTTCTGCATTTATTATCGCAGCAATGTTTCTCCTTATTTTATTTTATGCCTATGCTGGGGTTATTCTTTTTGGAACAGTTAGATATGGTCAAGCACTTTCAAAACATGTAAATTTCCGTTCAGGAAAACAAGCATTAATGGTTTTATTTAGAAGTATTACAGGAGAAGATTGGAATGGTTTTTGTGATTTAAATTTAAAAATATTCCTTTTAATTAGATATAATGCATGATTGTATGCGTTCCCCTCCATATTGTTATTGGGCACCTTCTTTAAGTTATTGGCAAAGTGATTGTGGAAATTATATGGCCGCAATACTTTATTTTTGTTCTTTTTATCTAATAATTGCTTATATTGTTTTAAATTTACTTGTTGCCGTTATTATGGAAAATTTTTCTCTTTTTTATTCTTCTGAAGAAGATGCTTTGTTAAGCTATGCAGATATTCGAAATTATCAACAAGTAAATAATCTAAACCTTTCTACTAGTTCTCGGTAAAGCATTTCGAAAACACACACTTATTTGGAGAGGTCAAATAAAAGAATTTTTTGTGTTATAAGAGAGAGAGGAAGAGTTCGGATATTAAAAAATATTTTTAGGTCTGGAATATGGTAGATCTAGAACAAAAACATTCCATTCCTGTACGTCGAGTAAAATTTTTGCTTCGGCTACTTAGAGGCCGTTTGGAGGTTGATCTAAATAAAGACAAACTTCTCTTTAAACATATGGTTGGAAAATAAAATTGTTTTTATATTTTTTATATTTTTAGTGTCACGAAATGGAAAGACTAAACAATGGGGAAGATGTTTCTTTCCATGATATTCTGAGGTTGAAAAATATTCTTTAAATTATGGTTTCTTCCCCATTATTGTAACTGTTCAAATTTATTTTAGTCATAGGAATTTTAATTTTCTAATTATTTTTTAATTTTATATATTGCTTCCCCCATTTTAAGTCATCGTAATTTTAATTTTATAATTATTTTTAAAGTATGCTCTCCTATCGAAGTGTTGATATTCGTAAATCATTGCAATTAGATGAATTAGTACAGAGAGAAGAATTGGAATATTTAATAGAAGAAGAGGTGGCAAAACAGGTAGAAAAAATGATTTTTATTTATTTATTTTTTTTTAAATTTATTTTTCAGACAATTCGTGATTGGTTAGAATCTTGTTTAATTAAAAATAAACAATTAAAGAAACAACAACAAGAAACGGCAATGGGGGATTTACTTACACAAATAAGAAGTACTACAACAACACAAACTTGTCAGACAAAATTATTATTAAAACAGCCAATAAGTCCTAAAAAACAAATTAAATGTGATAGAAAAGAAAGTTCTCCAAATAAAAAAAGTAGTGAAGGAAATTCTGAAATAGTAACTTCCTCTTTTGTAAAGAATGAAGTAAGTAAGGAGTTGATTTTTTTGAAATTTATAATAGAGCTCGGACAAAAAACATATATTTTAATTTAGTCTTTTTTGCTTAAGCATTTAAAAGAAACCTAAAGAGAGATTTAATTCTATTTATTGTTTGTCGAGACAATAAATAGACTCACATAATTCTGAGAGGATATAACTATATATTATAATTTAGTTTTTGTTTTTGAAAATTTAAAATTATTTTTAATTCTAATTAAAAACATTTTAGGAACAACCAAATAAAGTTGCCGAAAAAGTTGATAAACGACGTCGTAGCAGTAGTATACCAGAATTAGTTGAGGTGTTTTTAATTAAATATTTCTCTAATTAAGTTAAATATTGAAAGGAGGCAAAACGTTTTGTATGGGGTGGTCGACTAAAATCATTACCACGTATAAATTTCGGTCGTCAAAGACAATTACAATCTACAAATAATTCAATAAAAGAGGAAGGAGTAACAGGAAGTAATAAACAGGTAATTATGAAAAGAGGATAACATTTTCTAAATAATTAAATATATATTTAGCCAGACAGACCAACAATTTCAATAATATCAGAATTAATTGCTGGGCAAATGTGTCAACAACAACAATTATTTGAAATTGCCACAAAAGATCAAAATATTTCTTTAAATAAAAATCAAATTGAAGAAAATAGAAAAGTAAAAATAAACAAATAAATAAATTTGTTTTAAAAAAATTATTAATATTTTTTAAGTCTTCCCTAAGTCCATTAGGTAGGACAGGAAAAACACACCTTTCCCCAACAACATTTTCAATTAAACGAGAAAGAGAAGAAGAGGCAGAAAAGTTATCTGTAGAAGAAACAGATGTCCGTAGATTGTCTTTAGGTATTTTTTTAGTTTTTGAATAAAAAATAACTTTTCCTTTAATTAAATCCTCAATTTTTTAAAAAATTACCAGACGTGTAAGAAGGCAAATATTATACAATCAAATCTTGGTTTTAAATAATGCCAATAATAAATTACTAATTTATTTCTAGAAATATATCTCGATTTCCACGAATCACTAAATAAATTATAAATATATAGTTGCTATTCGACTGTATGTACTAATTTATATAAAATTTAATTTTTTGGAATTAAAAAAACATTTTTTAACTTTTGTTTTTCCAATAAATAAATTTATTTTTATTGAAATTTTTAGCTGCTTATTTGCAACAGCTTGATTCAACTAATTATTCAAATAAAAGGAAGATTCGTGCCACAACTCAACAACAGATAAATAGTATTAACGTAGATAATGTATTAGATTGGTGGGATAATATTGAATAAATGATATTAATTTTCTTATATATTTTATTTAAAAATGCTTTTATCAAAGAAATTAATTATTATTTTACATTATATTTACATTATACATATGACTCATTATACTCTGGATAGTTATTTTTTCAACTCTCGTTTAGGACTGTAATTAATCAAGGGAGGGCTATTCCAACCCTTATTTCCACCCGTTCATTAAGAGTTATCAATGCCCAGCTTCATCTTCCCATTTTCGGTCCTATATTTTATAATTAGTATTTAAATAGCACATATAATAACCATATAGGTTATTTATAATAAGTAGATAAATAATAAGTTAGTGGTTTGCTCAATAGATAAAAAATCTTCGAAAGAAAACTAGGAGGTAATTAAACGAGGGAGGACAATTTACTAGTATAATTATATATCGAGTAAACGAAGTAATTAATCAAGTACGTTAATCGCTTTTATTTCAAAAATTTTAACTTTAATAGGAATAAATTAATAAAAGTTATAGTATGTATTATTAATTTATTTAAATTTAGCCAAAAATATTTTAGTTTTTATATGTATATGTATTATATCCAATTTTAATATTTTCTTGTTTGTAGATTATATGTATGTACTCATAATAGTTTTTATCCAGCAGGTTGTTGTCCATAAGGTACTCCATAATTTTGTTGGGGTGGTTGGCCGTATGGTTGTTGGCCGTATAGTTGTTGGCCGTATAGTTGGCCGTATGGTTGTTGGCCGTATAGTTGGCCGTATGGTTGTGCTGCATTAGTTTGTAAATACTGTGGGTTGTTATTTGTGAAATACTGTGGGTTAGTATTTGGGAAAAACTGTGGGTTATTATTTGGGAATGGAAGATACCCATTATTTGGCATTGCATATTGTGTAGGCTGCTGGTAAATTTAGTAAAATTAGTAAAATTATTAATTTATTAATAACAACCTGGCCATAATACATTGATGGTGGTTGTTGTCCGTAGATTTGATTTGGTAAATTATTCGGTCCGTATTGACCAGGAGGATAAACTCCCATATTTTGCATAATATTTGGGTCTTGATATCCCCCTTGCTGTAATTTCACACCTGTATTTAGTCCAGTTGGGTCATATTGTGGCATACCTGCTGGCATGCCGTAAGTGCCATCGTTTTGCGGGTATCCTTGTGGTGCTACCATATTGGTACCATAATTTTGATATTGTCCAGTTGGATCTTGTCCAATAGTTATTTTGATAGCATTAAAGATAGTTAAAATAAATAAAATAAACAAAACGTCCATTAATTTGCTTTTCCCTAAAATATTTAAATTATTATTTATAATACGAATTTTTCATCGAAAATTTTTATTTCGAAATAAATCTTTAATTTATATATTTACATCTAAAATTATATATACACGCTCAATTCCCTATTATTTTTTAAATTTTCTGACTACTGACTGGGGGTAGGTTCCAGAGCGATACTCTCAATTTTATAACCCCCTTATTCTTACATACGATTTTTAATCCCATAGGAGGTAGATAAGTTCGAGATCCGACCGTATAATTTTATTCTTAAATTTATTAAATAGCTTATATGAATTAATAAAAATTTATAATGAAATAAAAACCCTTCAAGTTTTTTGTGATGTGGAATTGAAAGTTTTTTTATTTTGTTTATTAGACGGTATTCATTTATGTATTGGGAATTGATAAATTATTGCCATTACTTAAATTTAATTTAAGCAAAAAAGCTATGCAAACTTTAAAAAGATTTACCTTTCTATAGAATGCAGTAAAATTAGAGAAGAATAATTATTTAAAATGATGAGTAAAGTTAAAGGGTTTATCTTAATTATAGAAATAATTGAAATGACTGCGGCGCATGAAAGCAAATACTAAAAAAGACATTGAAACTAGCATAACAATTATTGTTGCATCAATAAGAAGATAAGCCTTCGAAAGCTGCTGAGTTAACACGATTAAGGGGTAGAATCCTTGTCTCAGTCTCGAGTCTTGTCATGGTAAAGTTTTGTTTTTGGAAAGTTTTCGACTTTGTATATTAATTTTTTTTATTTTTAGAATGTAGCTTTTATTCTGACGGTGACATATGTATATTTTTTTTAATTTTTACAAATTTATTGAAATTGAATTAAATATTTAAATTTCACAAATTTTTGTTCTTATTTATTTACAAAATCATTTTGGATACTTGTTATAACTATTTTATTTTGCAACATCTTAAATAAATATTTAAGGAAGTATCTTTTATTTTTATATTTATTTACATATATGTATTTGGACATTTTATTTTCTTTTAATTTTAATATAAATACAAAATCTAGTTATTTTTACTAAATTATTTTTCTAAATAAAGATGATGATGCTCTCGATAAATAAAAGAAATTTAAGCATTTATGTATATTTTATTTAACTTTATTTTTTAAATATAATTTTTAATAAAATGAATAAAATTTATTTTTATTTCTTTTTTTATTTGGGAATGTTTTTTAAAATAAATAAAAATTGTGTTTTTGGCCAGTGGGGTGAAATGGGAAATAGTGATGAAGGTTTAATAGATTTTTTTGATAAATAACCTAATAATTTAAATATAAACAAATTATCCATGCTTTATTAAAAGGTTGGAATGATGGAGGAATGGAAGGAATACAAAATCCAGTCTTTCCATTAATTAATGCTGGTATTCAAGAATCAAATGTTAAAACTCAAGGAAGAAGAATTGGATTGGCTTATGGTTTTAATTTTTTTTAATATGTAAAAACAAATGATTTAAAAAAAGATGAATTAAATGCATTAACTATTTTAAAAAATGCAATGGAAAAACGCGCGGAAGCAAATCGAAGACTTAATGAACAATTACAATTTTCTAGTAAACAATTGGATGAAGCTAAAGAAGCTTTAAAAATTACACGAGAAAGAATTGATGGTACTTTTTTAGAAAAATATATTTTTTATTTTTTTGAAGGATTGGAAAGTAAATGTGAAATGTATGGACGTTTAAAAAAAATTTTAAAAGATAAATTAACTGAACTTGAGGTAAAAGTTGATAATTTTTTTTAATTTTATAAATTTATAAAGTATCTTATTGGTGATTCAACAACAAATAATATTATTGGACAAAAACAACAAATACAGCCACAACAAATGCAAAGAGATGAAAATCAAAATAATGTTTGGATGGTTAAATAAATATTTAAAATTAATTAAAATAAATTTTAAAAATAATTATTTTATTTTTTAAGGATGGCGAATTTATGAGGTACATAATAATATTTTAATATAAAAACTGGAAATATTTTTTAAGAAGATTACGAATAAATAGACAAGGTTTAAATGATGAAATAAATAATTTAAATAACAAAAATTCTGATAATCTATCTTCTCAATTAAATCCTCCAAAAACATTTTCGTGTAATACCAACAATATTGGGGAACAAAGAATTGGTATAGAAACAGAAATTGATCAGGCACAGAAACGTATTCAAATGCTTAAAGGAATGGAACACAAAATAAGTGTTTCGTTATTTTTGGCTAAATTACTTTAATTTTTTCTTTTAATTTTTTAATTAAACAAATTTTTTACTTCATTGTTTTTTATCATTTGGTTATAATAAATATTTTGTACAGAAGGGTAATTCTTCTCGTTATTATTTTTTTAATAATAATAAAAAAAATATTTTTCTACACAAACTTTTATCCATACTAATAAAATTTAAATTAAATTTAAATATTAATTAATAATTAAATTTAAATTATTTATTTCCTTTTATATTTAATTAAAATATTATTCCCTTTAATTTAAAAAAAATAAAAGAAAGCAGATCTTTTGATTATCCATTCAATAAAGAAGAGAATTAAACCTGTTTTGTTTTTAGTATTTGTAAATAAATAGATTTAGTTGAATGAATAATTAATATATATTTTTATTTATTTAAGTTAGGTATACTTTTTAAATGTAAAAATAAAAAAATAATTTTTAAAATTAAAAAATATTCTTTTAATTAAATATTAATTATTTTAATTTTTTTAAAGATTATTTAAAACTTTCCAAAATTCGCCTCCAAAATAGTCTAGTAATTATTCTGCCCTTCTTCCTTATTCATTTAAAATTTTTTTCTTTCATTGATCAAAAAATATTTTTTTCATGTCAATTAAAATAAAAATTAATTTTACAATAAGAACTTAAAATAATTAAATAAACAATAGGAAATACACATTTAAAAATAAAAAAATAAATCAGAAATGGTTTCAGCAATTGAAAAGCAAAAAAATTTTGTTTTTAATATTCTTTTCTTTCTAAATAAATAAAAATATTTCTTTTTATTTTATTAATTTTTGCGCAAGCTAACACGTAATTTTTCTAGTTATAATAAAAATAAATAAATATTTTTTTGCAACAAAGAAATAAAAAATAATTCTTTTTTTTGAACAAATGAATTAATTAATTTATTTTTTAATATTTAGACAACAAAACTTTAAATAAAAAAAAGAATGTTTTTGGATAATATTAAATTCTTTATTTTATTTTATGTAATTTTGCAATTCGAGAAAATTTGTGAGTAAGGGACTTTAATTAATTTAAAATATTCTTATTTTCGCTAATATTTTTTTAATTTCCTTAAATTGTTTTTCTTTATTTAAAAATTTAAATCTACTTTCTCCCTTTATCGAACACTAAGAAAAGTGCAACAAATAAATAAAAACTTTTTTCTACAGGGATCTGTTAAAAAAATTTGTATATTTATATTTTATATACCGTAAATGCTAAAATAATGTCCCTCTCTCAAATAATCACCCCCACCCTATTAATTACCGCCTAAAGTCAGGGATCGAAAAAAATAATTACCCCTCTTAAAAATAGTTATAATTAGCCTTTTTAAAAAAGTTCAAATAATTACCCCCTCCCTTTTAATTACCCCCTCCATCGAGAGGTTGAAACAATAATTACCCTGGTAATTAATTTAGCAAATACACAAACTTAATTTAAAAAAAAAATAAATTTATTTTAAATATTTCTTTTTGGAATTTTTTTCTGATTTTTATTTTAATTTATTTTAAAAATTATTTTTATAAATAAAAATTCAAGTTTCTGCTGTACCCGGACAAGTAGTAATTAAACGTTTTTCAAAAGACCAATGTAAATTTAATCCTTGTTTAAATGGTGGAAAGTGTGTAGCTGGAAAGACAGCTTGTGATTGTCCTTCTGGATGGATGGGGAAATATTGTCATAGTTAAATATATTCTTTAAATTATTATTATTTTTAAATTAAAAATAAAAGGACGTTGTAGAAATATTTATCAAAGTTGTGACAGATGGGCAATGGAAGAAAAATGTGAACTTGTTAGAACACAAGTATTTTCTGTATTTTAAATTTAAAAAAATTATTTTTTTAGACAAATTTTTTTGATATAAATTGTGCTGTTTCTTGTAATTTATGTATTCCTGATCCAGCTATTAGTATTTAAATTAATTTTTTTAAATTTAAATTAATTAAAGAATTAACACCAATTCCTTTACCCCCAGCATTAGAACCAATTCAATTTATGATGGGTAAATGGTACTCTCAAGTAATTTTCAAAATAAATTTTAAGGGAAAATATTTGTATTTATTTTAGGCTACAAAAGGTTTAAGATTTCCAACAGACATGTTAGCTAGTGAATATGAAGAATTATTAGATATTTCTCCAACACAAGTATTTATATAAATTAAAATTTATATTTATTTATTATTTTTTTATGTTCCAATGTTTGGACCTCCTTCAATGAATTTAACGTTAATAATAATAATTATAATTTATTAAAATTATTTAATTTTATAGGAGTATTTGTTGGAACAAAAATGGTAAAATAAATTTATACATATTTTTAAATTTAATTTATTGAAGATATACGTATTACTCATGGATTTGTTACATTAAAGCCAAATTCTGTAAAAAAAATTTTTTAATTTAATTTAAAATAAAATTTATTTAGTATCCACCAGAAATAGCCATTTTAAGTACAGCTAATGAAGGACTTAATATGATTGAATTAGGGACTTTACAAAATCATGCTGTTACTCTAAATATTAGCTATATGTATGTAAATATATTTAAATTAACAAAAAAAGAATATTTTTTAATTTTAAAGGCAAGTTCACCCTTCATTAGACAATGATGTTTTGCCTTTAGGGGTTTAAATACTTAAATTTAAGTTAAAATATTTTAATTTTTATTAAGGCAACTCGGCGTTTTAAGCGTTCAGGTCAATTACTTGAAATGACTGTAGCAAGGTTATTTCCAGGAAATCGAGTTTCTCAATTTAAAAAAATGTTTAAAAAAGTTAGAAATTATCCATTTTAAATTTTTAAATTGTTTGAGAATGTTAAAAATAAATAAATATATGTATATTATTTTTTAAATAAATAATTTCTGCGAGAATTTTTTATTAAAATAAATTTTGTTTTTGTATTATTTTAAATATTTCTAAGATTTTTATGAGTTTTTGTTGACTTTCTTTGAATAGTTTCCAACTTAAAATAAAATTTTGTGTTTTTCCCCGAGTCTGTCTTTAAAATGTTTATTTTTGGTGTGTTATAGACTTGTTTTTATTAATTAAGGAAGGAAGAGCATAGCGGCAAAATTCAAATAAAAATTTCTCAATAAAAGAAATTGGTGAATTAAGCATTGATTGCTCTTATGACAAGCTTGTGAAATTGTTTATTTGCAAATATTTATTTTTTTTATTTTTAATATTTCAAAATTCTTTAAATTTATTTTTTAATTGAAAAATGTTTTTTAAATTAAATAATTTATTATTTATTTATTTTTTATTAATTTATTCAAATATTTTTTGTGTAGAGAAGGATCTTGGTAAATATTTTAATTTAAAATTGAAAAAAATTCCTAATTTTTTAGATAAATTAGAGAATAATTTAATTTCTTTAAAAGAAGAAACAAAATTAGGAGAAAAAGAAAATCCTTTATTTTCAATTAATTATTGTTTGTCAATTGAGGAAATTTCAAATATTGAAATTAAAGATTATGAATTTTGTTTTTTTGTGTTAATAGAGCTTTGTTTATGGGAAATTCCAGAAATTTTTGAAGACAATAATTTAACATTATTTTCCCCAAAAAATTTATTTGATGATAATGGAGAAAATTTGGGAGGAATTTTGGCAAGAAAAATTTGGGGAAATTATAAAAATAAAAAAGAAAAATCTTTAAAACAAATTTTTAATGGGAAAATAGAAATTGTAGAAAATTCTAAAAGAAATGAAATTAAAGGAAAGAAAGTAATAATTGATAATATTAAAAGAAAAGGTAAAATGAGTGAAGAAAATTTAAATAATAAATTAAAAATTGGAGAAATTGAGAAAGCTAATAAATTAAAATTTGAAAATATTTTAAAAGAAATTCAAAGTATTTTGGAAAAAATTAAAGAAAAAATTAAAAATGAAGGAAAACAATTAAATGAAGGTATGTAAGTAGTTATATGTAGTTATAAATATTATAGGGAAGAAGGGAAATTAATTTAATCAGTCGGGGGTTTTAATCAAAAGATTGATTTTGGTGAACAGAAGAGCTAAGAATAACTTCCACAGGTTCGATGCCTGACTGTAACTGAACTTCACTTTAAAATCCAAATTTTAATTTATTATTTTAGCATTACTTCAAAAAGATAAAATTTCAAAAAGCAACGAAATATTTGCTGTTAAAATGTTTCAAAATATTTTAAAGACAGCCGGGTTTAAATTAGCGGTAAAAAAAGAAAGGGAAATGATTTCAACAAGGAAAAAATTAATAAAAGAATTAAACGGCAAATACGAATTAATTTTGTTAATTACTATAGCAATAGATACAAAAATAAATAAAATTAAAAATAGTAGTGGTGAAGAAAATAATTATAAGGTTTTTCTTATTTTGTATTTTTTAAAAAATAATTTTAAAGAATATTTTGGAAGAAATTAAACATTTGAGTTATCGCCGTATAGCTTTGGATAATTCTATAAATGAAGGGATTATTTTAGCAAGAGCTTTGAAAAAATACTTTAAAAAAGAAAATAAACAAAATTTTGGATTAGTTTATTTTTCATTTTTTAAAGTAAAAAATGGGTTAATTCGTTTGGGTATTTTTGATGGAATTGATAAGGAAAGTGCAAAAAGTTTGGTTGAAAAGGATGTTAGTAAAACCAATGAAATTTATAAAATTTTGACTGGAAGAGAATTAATAATGGAAATAATAAATAAAGAAGAAAGGTTTTTTAATTAATAAAAATTATTGCTTAAAAATATATAAATATTTAATTTAAATTTTAGTTTAAAACTAAAAACTAAAAAATAATAATTTAAAATATGTATTTATTCCAATAAATTCCTGATTTTAATATTTTTTAATTTAAATAGCTCGGAAAATGTTGCAAGTTTTTTCGATAGTTCAATTCAACGTGATATTAATGTAACTTTAATAAGAATGATTGAATTATTGGCCCCTTTGTTTTTATATTATTATAAAATTATTGAAGACAAAAATATTTTAAATTATGGAAAAGAAATTAATTTTGAGGAAATCGAAAAATTTTTAAATGAAAATTTGGAAAAGTTAAAAATTAAAAAAGAAGAAAATTCTGAAAAAAAATTGGAAAGGTCGAAAACAGTCGTTTCTAGAAAAAAAGAGGATAAAAAGCCGATAATTAATTGTTTGGCGAGAAAATCAAAAAGTTGTTCCGAAATTAATTTATCTAAGCAAACATTAAGTCAATTATTTAATTTGGATGATAGCAAAGAAAAAGAAAAAAATAAAGAAATATTAACTAATAATTTATTTTAGGTTTAAACTAAAAATTTATTTAAAAAAATATTTTTTGTTGAAAACAAGTTAAGTTTAAATATTTTTTAAATAATAATTTATAATAGGAAAAGCATTCAGAAAATGACAGTAAAATTTAAAAAAATATTTAGTTTAAATTACCTTATAAAATTAGAAAAATTAAAATTAAATACAAATTTTAATACAAAAAAGAGAGTTGATTATATATTATTTATTTATTTTATTATTAAAAAATATTTCACAAATTTATTTTTATTGAATATGTACAAAAAACAAACAACGATTTAAACATTTACTTTCTGTTTTAATATTTCTGTTTCAATTTGTTGATTATTTGTTGTTGTTGTTGTTTGTTTTGTTAAATTTAAAATTCTTTTTAAATATTTCCAAAACCTCCTCATCATTATCCAAAAAAGAAAAACAAAAATTCCAAGCAGAATAATTGCTATAAGTTGACATAATACAAGACCTAATGCTAAATGACCTTTCTAATTAGTAAATAAATTTTGAATTTTAAAATTATTTTTTTAATTAATTACTTGAATAAATAGCCAAATAAAAAATCCTGCAGTCGCAGTTAAAGGTAAAATTACAAAACAACAAGTTTGGGTATCATAATTTAAACAGGTATCACATTCAGTAAATCCATTTCCATTCCCTCCATTACTTTGGTGATTTATTGATGGAAAACTATTTCGAAGTAATAAAAATGATGCCGACATTTTAATTAACTACCCTCCCTTCGAAATAATTATTCCCTCTGGCGAGAGGTTTAAACAATTATTACCTTCAAGTAAATACGTGTATATTAAATAATTCGTAGAATCCTCTTTTAAAAAAATATTTTTAAAAAGAATAATTAAGTAAGTATATTAATCCTTTATTATAAAAATAAGTTTATAAGAATCTCTAATGGTTTAAGGATTTGTGGAAAATTAATGGAGAAAAAGCCAGCTTTTTTAAAGGCGGCATTTTTTTTGTTTTCTCGTTTTAAAGTGAAATTGCCATTGACGAACGCAAACAACCACTCATCGATTAACAATATGTATTATTTACTCCGAAAAATTTTCTTCAAAAAGAATATTCGTGAGAAAAAATAAGATGAATTACTATGTATGAAGTAGTCCCTCCAGAAATGTTAAACAAGAATAAAATTAAAAATATTTTGGAATGTATTTGAATTAAATTGCCATATTTTGCCTCATAAAAATAAAGTTACTATATGAATAATAAAAGTTGTTCGGGTTATAATCATAAAAACCCTCATCGGTGCCAGTCTAGTTGGAATATACCAGCCCGGCTAGTCAATAATCTCTTTCGTCTGTTCCAACCTAAATCCGCCTTCTTATAATTGTAATGAAGTGTTATTCAAGCAGTATGTATGAACTTAAGTCGTTAAAGGTCGTCAATCAAAAATAATTAACTTATGATTCCTTAACTTATGATTTAGGGCATGTGAAGAGGAAGATAAAAAGTGCATTAGCGGCATTTAAATAAAAATAATATAAATTTATTTAGATGTTATTTTTAATGATTGATTAATTTGCTATAATAACTTAAATATTTAATATATTATTTTATTTATTCATAAAATTAAAAAAAAATACATAATTTATTAAAGTTTTATTTTTATTAGAAATTATAATCTTAGTGTAAATATTTCCTAATTAAAAAAGTTGACAACAACAATCAATTTTATTTTTAAATTTAAAAAATCTTTATGTTTTTAAATATTTTTTTATTAATTATTTTACTTCCTTCAATTATTTATTGTGTATATATTCAATCAGAAATACCCGATTCAAATTTTAAAGGTGAAGGTCAATTAAAAGAACTTCATGATCGGGTATCGGCTTTTATTTCTGATAAATTTAATGTAAATATCAAAAAATTTCCTAATTTGTCCTTAAATGTAGAGGAAAAAGAGAAAAATAAAATAAATAATAAAGAAATTAAAATAAAGGACATTGAAGGGAAAGAAAAGGAAAATGAGGAAGAAGGATTGAAAAATACGAAAAGAAAAAGAAATTTAATAAATTCTTTATTAATGCCAGAAAAAGCTATAATGAACAAGTATTTTTTGATAAAGTTTAAGTGTAGATAATGATGTTCATAAAATGATTTGACATTTATTTAATAAAAAAGAATTAATTTTTTTAGAAAAGAATGGGAACAAATGTTAAAAGAAGATCCCATTCTTGCTGATTGCCTCTTCAAAATGGATATTGAAAAACAAATTAACAATATATATTACCAAATACGTTGGTTACTTGAATCTAGAAGATTTATTTCAACAGCAAGTTCTGATGATTATATTAAATTAAAAGATGTAACTAAAGATTTAAATGAACTTCAATTGGATAATAAACATTTAATTTATTTAAAAAAAGTTTATAAAAGACTCGAAAAAAATTTTAAAAAATTACAAAAATCGGTAGAAAAAGAGGAAGAATTAAAAGAAGGCGAAAGAATAAATAATGACTATGTAAGCAGTGGAAGTGATCAGGAAATTAAAGAATTAAATGAAAGTAATTTTTAAATAAAGATTAAATTTTTTAAGAAAGATATAAAAATATAAATTTAATTTTATTATAAATAAATTTATATTTTTTATTTATTTTTCTAGGAAAAAGAAAAGGGAAAATGAAAGAGGAGGATTATAATACAATGAAAATAGAAGAAAGTAAAGCAAATGAAATAATAGGTTAAATATTTTTATTTTTAAAAAGATTTTACATAATATTAAGTAAACTAATATTAAGACGCGCAAGCTTAGAAATGCAGATAAAGTATATATACACTTGGAAGACTAGTTTATAAACCTATTGAAAAAATATATTCAAACTTAAAGGAGAGTATATTCCTACATAATTTAATAAAATTCCAACGCTTTCCATAATGTACTTAATAAACCACTAATTTTTACTAAATATTCCAGAAAAAGAACCTTTTGTTCCAACAAAAATTCATTTAAGTTTAATATCAGAATTATTAAATTTCCGCAAGGAATTAAATGAATTCACAGTAAATACAAAAATTGAGCTGTGGACAAGACAAAGCTTTAAATCATTTGAATTATTGGGAAAAGAAATTGAAGAAAATAGTGAATTTTTAATGGTCTTAAAAAATACTCCTATTGAAAAAATTGGGTATAGATCAAATATTTATCAAAATATTGATAGCAAAATTAAAGAAATACAAAACGAAGAAGAAATTTCTTTGGATATAGTATCTAATGAATTAAAAAATATTGCTGAAGTAGATGAAGATATTCAGAGATATCTAAATGTATATTATTTAAATATTATAAAAAAGGCTCAATAGGTGAAAAATTCATTGGATGGGAGATGGAATAAAATCGTCAAGGAGTGAAACCACAACAGAGCACAATCGACTGTGCAACTATCCAACCTGATGAGTAATTATTTTTAGGTTTTTCGGTTCGAACCTAACCGGAGAATAGAAATCCAAAAATTTCCATCTGCTTCGCTAGAAAGGAGGAAATATGATTGAAATAAAAAAGTTACAAAGATTTTATTTCGGTTCCTGACGGAAATTTTCAGATTTTCCTAAGCTAAAAATCCTCCTTTTTAGCGCCTTAGACTAATTTTTTAACTTCAACATTTAAATAATTAAAACAAGGAAAGGAGCAGGTCCTGGTATTTTAAATAATATTTACAATTAACTAAAAATAAATTTAATTCTCATTATATTATTTTAATCACAAAACAGAATTACCAAGAAATACGTAATTTTGATCTATTGAATAATATGTCCAAATTTTTATTCAAAAAATTAGATGAAACTTTTCGTTCAGAAAATGATGATATTTTTGATATAAATATGGGAATTATTTGGCTTTTATCTAGAAGATTAATTGAAGAACAACTTTATAATATTTTTCGTAAAAATCAAAGTTTTAGATCATTTATGCAAAAAGAATTAGAAATAGATGTAGGGGAACATAAACTAATGATTCAAAAAATAAATGAATGGAATGAATTGCCAAAACAATTAATTCCGGGTGTTTATAAAGGAAAAGATTCAACTTCTTTAAAAACTCGAATAATTGTTAATTCAATGAATTTACTTTTTATTTTTAAAAGACTTAATAAAGAAAATCATAAAATAGATAAAGATTATGGGCCTATTTGGGAAGAAATTGAACAAAATAATCTTGATGAAAATAATGAAAATAGAACAAATGAAGAAGAAATTAATGTAAGGAAGGAAATTGAAAACAATTCTTTACCAAAAGAAATTGAAAGTATAAATAAATAATTTTATTCTATAAATTATTTTAAGGGATTTAATTAAATTAATTCCCAAATTAGTTGGGGGAAGTCCTCGATTAATTTTGGTTAAGTTGTTCACTTTAAGAGTGGGCGATATGGGTAAATGAGCAATCAAATCATCGTTATTTTAGAAACCATTCAGTAAAAAGTGATGGAATAGTGTAGAAAATAAAGAATGAGTTAACGAGCTCTGAGGGTTTCTACAAGGTTGGAAGTAAGCTAAATTGAATAAATTGAAAATATAGTTTAAACTACTCGAAATTTTTTAAATTTATTTTTTAAGAACTTATATATGAACAATACAAATCGTTGAAGAATAATAAACAAAAAGAAAATGAAAGAAAATTGGTGAAAAGGAAGTTTCCGGGGATTAATATTAAAAAGAAAATAAAGAAAGTTAAAAGTATTTTTTCAAAAGCTTTTGGCATTAAAAAGAAAAGTCGAAAAAGAAAAATTCTAAAAAGAAAAATTCCAAAAACAAATTCTTTATCTAATAAAGAATGGATGAAATTAATTGAAGAAAGAATTAAAAATCCAAATAAAATTAAGGAAATTAAATCTGATCAACCAAAACAGCCAAAAAATAATAATAAAGAAAAAGAAAATGAACACCATAATTCAAATGAAGATAACGCAGAAAGTAATAATAATAATGAGATTAATAAAATACAAAAGAAAAAAAGAATTATACATCATGGAGAAATTGAAGAGGAAATAAGTGAAGAAGAGGAAGAAGACGAAGTAAATTAATTTTTTAATAAAATTTATATTAATATAATTAATTAAGTTCAAGCTACAACACAGAAGCCGAAGGAATAAAATTGAAAAAGCCGTTGATAACCCCGAAACAAGCCAAACTAAGCAATTAAAGTTTTCTCCACCCCAAGATGGTTAGTAATTAAAATTATATTTTGTGTTTATGTTTTGGTGAAATTTCTCAAGTAAAGAATATTTATGAAAACATTAGAAAAAAATTACAAAAAAATAATAAACCACAAATAATTTTTTAAAAATTTTGGTGTAATTTAGTTGCAAATGAAATAGAAAAATTCAAACAAAGAAATTTAGTTGGAATATTAAAGAAGAGTTTATCTATGTGATAGTTTAGTCTTAACAATTTTTGTAATATGTAGTTGTAATCTTACTTATTTTTGTAAAACAAATAAACATGGGGTTTTAAAACATATTTTTACTAAAAAGGGGAGAGGGGGTTGTTCTCCGAGAGATAATTATAAAACTATTATATTTAACATACATACATATATCGAAATTTAGAAAGAACATACAAAATTCTAACACAAGCTGCCGAGCGATTGAAAAAATTTCAAAAAGAAAAACATTCGAAAAGATCAATGTGGTCAAAAGGAATTAACAATTTGAAAAGAATTAAAGCAGATAAATAAAACCTAAATTTTTTAAATTCTTTATTATTATCACACGTGTTCGAGAGGACTTTTAAAAATATCATAGGATTTAGAAGAATATTAGGGGATTTGGAAATTTGTGGGGATATTAAGGGGATATTGCAATTAAGAAGGAAAAATAAGGAGATTTCTCGATATCTCCTACAAATTCCAAATTTGTCAATACCTCCTCCAAGCTATCTTATTGTTAGACCCTCTTAAGCCTCAAAAATCCAAATTTTTTATGAGAGTACCTAAATTTTCTTAATCCTTGATATCTTTCATTTACTCTCATCCTCCTATTCATATTTATTTTCAAAAAGCAACTCAAAATTTCGCCTGCAGCGTCGACCTCGCAATATTTCACAACAGGATATGAAAAATTGATAAATCCTTCAGTTAGATTTTTTATTTGTTTGAGATTTATCAATTTTTCTTGTAAAATTTATTACTGAAAAAATCTAACTTTTTTTTACTAAATTTTCTCATATTTTTCCGTAAACTAAATAAATAAAATTTAATCAACCAAAACAAAAATTAGCCATCAAAATAAATAAAGCGTTATTACACATGTAAAAATAAAAATACATTACTATATTTTTCAATGTAAATATAATATTTTCAGTATTTCCAAACATGATATTTTTAAAATTTATTTGTCCTTAATTTCTAAACAATACCCTTCTTAATTTGATTAAAATAAAAGTTAAGCACATTATTTGAATGATGCCAACGAGGATGGTCAATATTTTTATGCCAAAAAGGAAATCCAACCAATAATTGACGTTTCGCCTTTAAATTTTAATTAAAAATATTTTTTAATTTTTAAATTTACAATTTTATCATTTTGATTACTCAAAAGTGATTTTTGTTCGTTTTCTTGTTCTTCATCATCTTCTGAACTTGTTATATTCTCCAAATATTTCATTGCCCATTTACTTGCAATTGGAACCGAATTAATTTTAATATTTTGATCATCATTTGAGAATCCCTAAAATGATTTATTAATTTCTAAAATATCTAAACAAAGAACGAACAAAAAAATAAAAAATTTTGCCTAGTCTTCTAAAATAAAAAAAAATTTCTCAATGCTAAAGAATCAAAATCTTCTTAACCCTCCAAAATGGCGTTAAAAATATGTAAAATTTTGCGCTAAAACAACATAGTGAATTAGAGTAGTGAATTTCGTTTAAAAATCAATCCTGCCTGCGTTTACATGATTAAGCAAGAGAATTGTTCTTAACCCTTCAAGAACCTGACTATTATAAATCCGCAAAAAGTAGGCAAATATTTATTTGTTTTCATTGACAAATAAACGTTTTATAATAAATTTTACCTTTTTATTTAAACCTCCACTACCACTACTCTCATAACATTCCTCACTATCTGTCCAATCAACCTTATTACTAGCTTGATTTTTTTGATCCAATTTTCCATTTCCCTTGTTTTCATTTTTCGTGACTTTTAACTGAGGATCCACACCATTTTTTCCTTTTTTATTTTTCTTAGTTTTTTGTTTTCCTTGACGCTGCTCATTCTTTTTGTTTTGAAAGTTTCTCTCTTTAAAATATTTTTAAATCAATATTAATAAATACTTACGATTATTGCCTTGGTTGTGATGTTTTTGCCGTTCAGTAATTAAATCTGAAATAGAATTTTATATAAATTTGAACAAATAACGGTACTACTGAAGAAAAGGGTGCTTTTTCTGCGGACTTATTTTGCGGACTTTTCCTTTCTTTTAAATGTTTCTTTTTTAATGTTTTGTTTGTCTTGCTTGTAGCAAGTTTTGCTTGTAGCAACTAACGGTCAAAGGATTGATTTTTATGTCAATTTGAAAAATATGTGTTCACCATTAATTTGAACATTATAAACGTTAAAATTGACTTTAACTACATATTTTCAATTACCCGATGATGAATTTCAACAATGGATCACTGATCTCGGAATGCTTCATAGAAAAAGAATATGTGATTGTGGACAGAAATGCGGGTAATTTCAAACCTTGTCCCCTCCCCATTATTTTTATTACCTAAGATTGTACAAAATGGTCAGATTTCCTCCTTCCTCTCTTTCCTCTATTTAAGCTTGGCATATTCAAACAAGAGACATTGTTGATAAAGAGAAGATTAATTGAGTTGTTCAATATTGAGTTCATTTTATTTTTTCAGTTGTTCAATATTTTTAAATATAAGTAAGAATGTAATGTTTTTACACAGAAATTCATAATGTTATACACCAAATCAATTTTATTTAATTCTTTTTTGGTTTAAATTGTTTTCGAAGGCAAAAAATAAGTGTATGACTATGTATAAAATTAATCTTCTCTTTATCAATGTCACTTGTTTGAATATGCCACAGAGCAAATAGAGGAAGGAGAGGAAGAAGAAAATCTGACCTTTATGTACAATCTTAGGTAAGAAAAATAATAGGGGGGAGGACCTTTGACAGTTAGTTGCTACAAGTAAAACATTTAAAAGAAAGGAAAAGTCCGCAAAAAAAGTCTGCAGAAAAAGCACCCTTTTCTTCAGTAGTGCCCAAATAACTTTAATATAAATTAATAAAAACTAATACTAGTAGCAATCGGAAAGTCAATCTGCGGCCTAGAAGAAACAAAAAATCGACGAGCAGCTTCTTGTCGATCACGAAGAATGTTAAATCTCTTTTGGAAAGAACAGCGCAAATCAGGATCCATTTCAAAAGGCATTTCATCAATTGGCCAATTTGTGCCATGATTAGTCCAAAGAAAAGACTAAATTAAAAAATAGGTGTATAAATAAAAAATAAATTGACCTTCCATTCTTCTGCAGTTTTTGAATGACGAATTTGTAACAAATCATTTCGACTATAATTAATCGATCCATCAATAGAAGAAAGGCTTTTAACATCAGAAGTCTTAGATATTTTTGAAAGCAATGATTGAGGCATCTGTGTAATAAGTTGTTTTAAATCGCTAACATTGCCAAAATCTTGAATACTGATTGACTTAAAAATTAAAAAATAAAAATTTAAATTATTATAAAATTGACAAACATCTGTAACCATATTCTGTTGTTCACCAGAACTAGATTTGCTGACAATCAAGCTCTTATCTTTTTCACTATTCTTTTCTAAATCCTTTTCATTTGAAGATATATTAGTCAAAACTTTCTGTTCATTAACATCATTTTCTTGAAAACTGGAATTTTGACTAAAAAATTCTTCTTCGTCACTAACTTCCAAATTATCTTGATTTTCGTTAGGTGAGAGATTTTCATTTTCAAGAAGCTCCGAATTGGAATCATCTGAATTAACAACATCATCCTGAAAATTATCTGTCCTCTCACATTCATGTTGGCAAGAAGAATCCACTGAAAGTGAATCTCTTGAGTTGCTGTGATTGTCCTTTCCAATATTGTCAATCTTTGCTTCCTTTTTTAAACCCTAAGGATGTAACAGAAATAAAAAATGATAAGAATATAAATTTAATCGATGAGAAAAATATATAAAACATACAAGTAAAGGTGGCGTCGAGTCCCGCAAGCGAAAATCCTCATCCTGGCTTGAATCTGAACATCTATTTTGATGAACTTCGTGTTTGTCAACAACTCCTTCAAAAACGCTCTCAAAAGATGGCACCTAAAAAACATAAAAATTTATATGTATATGAAGATAAACCTCAGTTGATTTTGGCGGACTACTAACACAAACAAAATCTTCATCATCACTTGAAATTGAGGCATACTTTGGAAATAAGTCATCCAAACTAGGCTGTGTTTGTGGAAAACCTGCCTCCAATGTAAATTTGGAACCAACAGCTGGTTTATTAAACGAAAGAGATGCAGATGTCTTAAAAAGATGCAATTTACAAATTCAGCAAATAAAAATGAATTGTCGAACCTTATTAGTATGCGGAGGTGAAGCTTCGGCCCGAAAATCCTCATCATGACTGCAAAATGAATCATTAAGCATTTCTTTATTGTCAATATCAAGTTTTTCCTGAATGTCTGTTTCCTAAAAATAAAATACATTAATATGTCACACCGTCACAGAAATATTGCATGCAATCAATCACACCTATTAGCATAAAAAAATAAACCTTAACTCCAGAACAATTTGAATCGTTGTCACAAATAAAATCTTTGTATTCATCATCATCAGAAGTACCAAGCATTTCCTTTTGCTGTGATAGAAGTGTCTGTTCAACTTCCGGTAATTTTAAAAAATTTGTAAATTTATCTCCCATAGCTAAATAGATGAACGCTTAAAAAATGAATATAAGGAAATATACAGTACTATGTATTTTAATTTACTAGGATATAACTTTTTGTAGGTCGATCTTTCAATTGATATATTAATTATCTCAATTGATCAAGAATTGAAAAAGTTATGGCCCAAAATACGGCTCTCTGACTCAATTGGCGGGACTCAATGATCCTGTTCCGCGAATAATTGTTGATATTCGGGTACAGCCCAAGTAGGCGCACGTCCATAACGGGCAAAGCCATAGCTTGCTTCTAGATTTCCGATTCCTCAAAATATAGTAGTAAACGATTCCTCTCATCGAGCTAAAGAGATTGGTACCAAAATTGATAAGGGCCAGAAATGTTCAAGCAAGTTATGGCTGTGCGCCGTTATGGCCGCGCGCCTACTTGAGCGTGTCCCTTGATATTCGCCGCGGATCAACCAAAATTGACCTTGTCGTTCACTACCAGATTTAGATATTTTTCTCCAATTTTTACTTTGAATATTTTCAAACTTAATGAATTTTTATTCTGAAACAAACTTCAATCCAAACTTCGATACAACAGACTCAATGCCGCATACCTCAAGTTCTTTTTTGACATGCAACACGACTGATTTAGATAAAGAAGCGGTTAATCCTGTTTCCTCAAAGGCACTCAGCAGTTCTGGTAGTAGTAATCAAAATGTTTGTGCACATTGTGGCTTTGAAATTTACGAACCAATGTATTTTTTATAATTCTTATCAAATTTTATAAAATTTTAAACAGATCCTCAAAAGATAAAGCTCCAGTTATGATTACAAATTTACCACATCTTCCATTACATGACGCTGCTTTAATGAATAAAAAAGATGACAATGTTAAATTGTTTCGATCACATGATGAGGATACTTCTGAATGGATATTTTGTGATATTTGCCGTAAATGGTTTCATGCAAAGTTAATTTTTAATTTAAAAATTTCTTTCCCTTTTATTTCAAAAATTAAAAATTTCTTTTAAAGTTGTGTAGATATTCAGCAATATGAGATGCCATTAATTGACAAATACCATTGCCCAAGTTGCCGATTTGAACATGGAGATAGTATAAGTAAATGATTTCTTGACTATACTTTTGTATTTATTATTCAATTTTAGTGAAGGTAAAGAGGCTTTTCCATCGTTATGTATTTGATGACGAGTCACAACGTGCTTTACCTATTCAAATTGGGACGGAAGCTTGGACACACAATTTTAAGAATGAATATAGAAAAATTCCAGAAGTGTATGTTTTTAATAATTTTTAATAGAATATTTCTAATTTTAGTACATGTGAAATGATTGATCTCTATGATGATGGACGTCAATTAATGCAAAATTTCAATTTTTTGTCAAAATGGACCAAACCTATAAAAGTTAAAAACTGTAAAGGTCTCGGCCTTCGAATGCCCGATGATCCATATTTTGATATTTTGGATGTCATTAAACTACTTGGTAGATTTGTAATGTTTCAATTTTATTTATTCCTTTTAGGTGGGCATGTTTTGGTTGACACTATCGATGTATTTGCACAACAAACTTATACAATGAGTTTGGACAGATTTTATGGGTTATGGAAAAAGCGTATTCGTGATCGGCTTTATAATATTCTTTCGTTGGAATTTTCTGGAACCAAGTAAGTGAAGATTGTTATTACTGCCTCCTCCTCTTATGAACCAGAATTTGTTTTATTTGAGTCAAAATATACAAATGATTTTTACTTTTCTACGCATTTTTATTTTTTTGATTCATTATAATTTATAAATTTTAGGCTTTCTGATATAGTTAGAAGTCCTTCAATTGTTCGAGAACTTAGTTGGGTTAGACGTTTCTGGCCGAGAGAAAATCAATCAGAGTTGCATCAGGACATATCTTTTGATGATATTTACACATGTTTTTTAAATATAGTTTCCTAGCAATTGTATTTTTTAGTCGACGAAAATCCAACATGGCAAAAACACTTTGGTAGAGCAAATGAATCAGATCATCAACATGAAAGTTCAAGACCTTACGTTGAGAATTTCTGTCTGTTGGGGATGCGAGGGAGTTACACTGATTTTCACATTGATTTTGGCGGTTCTTCTGTTTGGTATCACGTTTTTAGGGTTTTTTCAATATTTTTAATAACTAAATTAAATCATTTCTAATATGTAGGGCTCAAAAATTTTCTTTATTGCCCCTCCTACACCTGAGAATTTACAAGCTTTTCTTAATTGGCAAAATGATAAAGAGCGATCGGAAAAGTTTTTTGGTGATCTTTTACCAAATGGTGGAAAAATATATCGTTTGGAGGTTGGTGAACGAGAGACATTATTACTTCCAAGCGGTGAATTTATCTTAAAAAAATCGAAGAATTTTAATTTTTAGGTTGGATACACAGTGTTTATACTCCTGAGGACTCGATTGTATTCGGCGGTAATTTCTTGCATTCGTTAAACGTTGATTTGCAATTGAGGTAATTACATTGATTTTCTGACTAAAATTTGACGTTTAAGAATATTTTTAGTCAATCACCGCAAATTAATTTTGTTTTTCATCAATTTAGGGTTTATGATATAGAACTTGCTGTTGAGACTGACGAACGCTTTAAATTTCCTTTTTTTGAATTATGTAATATTTATGCAGCTAAGAGTTTTGCCGAATCAATAAAAGGTTTTTTAGATAATTTTTTATTCATTAATTTTACTAGATTGCACAGAATGTGGTCAACTCGCAGATCAATTCCAAATTGATGTCGCTACTTTACTTCTTGAAAAATGTAGCAAATGGATTCAAGAAGCGGACAAATTTTCAATATTCAAGGGAACATTGAAACAGTTGGAAAAACAACTTGAACGGCAAACGAATCTTCAACGGCGAATAAAGTTTTATTTAAAGAATTAATATTGTTATGATTTTTTGATTAGGGCTCATAATCCAGCAATTAATTCAACAAATATGCCTGCAATTTCCCCATCTTCCCAGTGTTCACCTTTAAGACAACCAGAACTCGAGATTCAAGATTTGGACAGCAGTTGGGATCAGGATGATGTAGATGATTGTAATGAACAAGAAGATGATTTTGAGACTATTGCTGATGATTCTGATAATAACTCTGATTCTGTGAGTATTTATATCTTTATTTTCTTTAAGGCCCAAATTTGCAAAATTACTTTTATTTCTGTTTTTTATTAAGAGAACAGAAACTGGAAAGGAATTATCTGTAAGTCAGCAACCTTCGACTTCTGCCAATAATGTGAATGGCTTAGTGGATGCTGTTTCTGATATTGATTCTGAAGGCCATATTCGTCTAAAAATCAAGCGTATATAAGAAATTTATTCCCAAAATTCACTATTTAATTTTAGTACCCTGTTGGCATCAAAAGCCTGACAATGAGAAGAAACAAGTTAATAATGTATTCTTTAACACTTTATTTATTTATTTTTCTAAAATTTAAATTTAGAATGTTATTGCGGATGAAGATGAGGCAGATATTGGTGCAATGTTTAGTGGTAGATCAATTCATGGGCGTCAGATTCGTCCAACTTCTCGGATTTCAACATTAGGAGGAATTACCATGGGTAAATTTTGTAAGATTCGACAATTTAATTTTTAAACATTTTTTAGATGATCAGAAAGGTGATGTCTTCGATTTTGTCCCTGGAACTGCTTCTATTACCTCTAAAAATGTTGGCCATAAAGATTTCATATCCTCATTTGCTCTTAAAGAGCGCCCACAAATGCACTTTACTGATAAAGCTGGTTATTATTTTGTATATTTTTTTACATATAAAAATATTTTAGCCGAGAAAAACTACAAAAATGAATTATTTTTGCCTTTAAACAAGCAAAAAAGAAAGAAAATGAATGCAAATAGCTCTAACATTGATTTTTTCCCAAACGACTTATTTACTTCAACTTCAAGTACCTCATCAAATAAAGAAGATTCTGTGATACAAAAGAAACCAAAGAAAACTTCAGCAATTAATTCTCGTGAACGTCTAGCAAAGAAATTAGGGTTAATGCGTAAGAAGTAAATCTCATTTTGTATTTTTTGTTCTGCACTCTGTGATTAATAAGGTCTTTTATTTTTTTCAAAACTCTTCCTATTCTAAAATTTTTAATTATAATATTTGGTATTTAGATTTATTTTGTTATAATTGTATTTTGACGATTATCCTCTACATAAGTACATCCTCCCATTTCTTTCACATTTTCTATTCTTTCACATTATTGATACCTACTTTGTTTCATTATTTGATTTTTTTGTATTAAAATTGTAATTAAATTCTTCTTTTTTTATTAAATGTGTGTGTGTGTAAACTGACAATTTTCTTTATTTGATATTTAAATTTTTAATTTGTTATTTTATCTTTTAAATAGTAATTAAATGGATAATGCAATGGAGTTTGTAAATTCTAGATTAGGAACTCAAGAATAGTAAGGATTTAGTTTTGAGACAAAAATGGGGGGGGGGGGGTAATTTTTTGAAATAAGTGAATGTGTAAAACATTTAATTTTTGGATGAAAAAATAAAAATTATAAAATTATAAACGACAAGGGAATATCTTAAAATATTTTCTAAATTAAGTTGGGATAAATTTTATGATGAAGAGTTGGCTAATTTTGAGGAAAATGGTGGAGAAGGAGAGGCGAGTTTTTATTTCCCTTTCTTTTTGTTAAAAATTATATTTTGTTAGATCTGGTTTGGTCGTTTATGTGAGGCTAAAATGGTTGAATTTTTAATTAATAAAGTACCCAAAGATGCAATTATTTGTGATATTGGTACTGGGAATGGGTCGGTATTACGAAAATTGGTAAAAATAATTTTGAATAAATTAATTATTTCTATTTTCTTAGAATAATTGTGGGTTTATGAATTTATTTGGAATTGATTATTCTAATAAAGCTATAGAATTGGCAAAGAATATTTCATCTAAAAATTGTTCTAATACTAAAATAAAATTTTTGGTTATTTAAATAATTTTAGAAATTACCTATAAAATATTTAAAGTTAGCAAATATTAGTGAAGATAAAATGAAAAGTGAATTGAAAGGAAAATTTGATATTTTGTTGGATAAGGTGAATTTATATAAAATATAAAAATAAATATAAAATTTTATTTTTAGGGTACTTTTGATGCAATATCCCTCACAAATAAATCTGATCGGGAAAATCATTTAAAATTTTATCAACAAAATATTTGTCAACTTTTTAAACAAAAAATTAAGGAAAAAAGTAAAAATATATTTTATTTGAGATTTAATTTTTAAATTAGTTGATGGTGAAATTCCTCGATTTTTGCTAATTTTCTCTTGCAATTTTACAAGGCATTAAATTTTTATTTTTTAAAATAATTTTTTTTAAATATTTAGAAATGAATTAATTAATTTATTGGAAAATGAATTACTTTGTTTTGATTGTGAATTACCTACAAATAATAATTTTGAATTTGGTGGGTGTAAAGGGAATACTTATATAGGTTGTGTATTTAAATGGAAAGGATAAAATATGTATAATTTAAAAAATATTTTTGTTATAAATATTTACATATTTTTTGTAAAAATATTTTTTAATGTTGAACAGCGCTGTTTTGAAATTTTAATTTCGATTTTCGAAAATCTAATAAAGTAATGGGCAACAAAAAACATTATTTTCATATTTAAGATAAACATTCTTTACTAACGATAGATTCCTCTAATCTATTTATTCCTCTTTCTAATTCTATCCGTTTTAAATTTTTAATCGTATTTCTCAATAAAACCCAAAAACTCTGCTTTATCGAATATGAATCCCGAAATTAAATTTTTAGCGGCACTGTCACTCAATTTGTTAATCTTATTATTTATTGTTAATCTTAACCGATCCCGACTGAAATGCTAACCCCAAATCTCAGCATCCCCGAATGTCGTAGTTATTACCTTAATTAAATTTTTAAAAATAAAATGAACACAAATTTTTACAGTATAATAAATAAATAAACATTTTCTTTTATTTAATATCACTATTATTTCAGGAATTTTTATAAAAATAATTTAAAATCATTTAATTCAAAATTAATTGCATTTAGCTTTTCCTTCTGTTATTTTCTCAATCCAATCACAATAAAGTCTTATTGTTGTGAAGAACCCTTTTTATTTTAAATTTACATTAAAAATATTATTTTATTTAATTCTACCTTTAAATTCACAAAGCCAAGAACCTCTACTTGTTATCCCAATTTGTTCCCAATTATTTGTTTCTGGATTTTTATAAAGTAAAGGGCCCCCACTATCTCCCTTTATTAATAAAAAAATAAAATTTTTATCTATGTATTAATTAATTACAAAACAAGTATTTTCACCACCAGGCCCAAAAGCACAAATTTCAGTTTTTAATACTCCATCACATTTTGGATCTTCATTATCCCAAACTGTGACATTTGCCCCTTGTAATGTTACTGGAGAACTTCCATCTTTATTTTTAAATTTTAAATTAAATAAATAAATTTATTTATTTAACCATCAATACGTCCCCAACCAGCAATATATGCACTTGAATTAATTGAAATTTCACGGCTTGACAGAATTACTGGTTGAATATCATATCCGTTTATTGGACTTTCCAACTTTTATTTTTTTTTAATTTTACATAATATTAAATATATTTTAATTTTACCTCAGCAATTGCCAGATCCTTTCCAAAAATATCTTCAGAAAATATATTTACTTTTTTTATATTAATCCACAATGATTGTGTATTATTCTCTATAGCATTAACAGTTCCAGCCATAATACTATATTTTCCTTTAAATCCAAAACAATGCCCAGCAGATAATATATGGGTTGGGGAAATAACAGAACAAGTACATAATCTTCGACAATCAAGCCATAATGAAGCCATAAATGGAAGTTGATTTATATGGTTAACTGATAAACCTCTATGAATCTTTAAAAAATTTGTGTGTGAAAATATTTTTTTAAAACCTTTAATTCATCTATAGCTGTATTTCCTTCTAAAATATTCCGAATATTTTCCTCATTAATTAATTTATTTTTTAAAATATTTTCATCATTTTCTACTATTTTATTAGTTAATTCAATAATTGTTTGCCCTTCTTTTTCTTCAGTTTTCGAATTTTTTGTACAATAACTTTTTGAATAAACTTGTAAGAATGAAATAAAAATACAAAAAATTCCAAAAAATTTTGGTGTTTTTAAAAACATTTTTTTATTAAAATAAATTAAAAATAAATAAATTTAAATTTATGTAGATTATTGCACAAATCTGTATATTTTATATAAGTAACTTTTAATTAGTAAAAATTTCTTTTTCTTTTGCTTGTGGCGATTATTAATTACCGATAATTTTTTTCGTTTCTTTGTTTAACCACAAAAATATTTATTTTTATTTTCAGACAGGATATTAAAATAAATTTAAAAATAAAATAAAGAAATCCACAAAAACTTGTTTTTAAATTTTTGAAAAAAAATTAAAAGTTTTGCTATTTATTTAAAAATATTTTGTGTTTAAATTTGGCAAAAAATCTCTATAAAATATAGTAAGAATATTTTTAATATTTACCTCCTCCCTTTATTTTAATTATTAAATTCTATTTTTATTCAAAAGTTTTACCTAAATATTTGTAATATTCAACATTTACTACAAAAACTTTTATTGAAAAATACAACAAATAAAATTTTAATATTTCAAAGTTTTTAATAAAATATTTTAATATTTGTATTCCTAATATTTTAGAAAAATAAACATTTTTATTTTACAAAAGTTCCAACTTCTTCAAAACAAATATTTTGTTGTTTTTTATGTCTAAATCTTTTAAACTTTCATTTTAACAGGTGGCTATTTACTAATAAATAAATAAATTTATTTATTTTTAACTTTTGTTTGTCCATAACTCTTTTGTTTTGTCTGTTTGTGTCCACCTACTAATTTATTTTCCTACCTTCTACTTACTCCATATTATTTTGTCTGTCATTTTTCATTTAGTAATAATAAGTTTTATACATTGAATTAGTGGATTTATATTTATTATTTGTAAATTTCGAAACCGGACTGAACTCGGGTTCTCTGCTTAATAGACCCACCCCCGGCCAAGTTTCCAGTTTTATCTTGGAACTGGGCGAGACCGGTAATCATGCCTGTGCCCGGAGGTAAAAAATCTGCATTTTTTGTTTCCGGAATTTACTCCAGAAACCCTTCCCCTGGTAAAAACCCGAATACCGGCCCGGCAATTTTTAAGTTCAAACTTTAATATTTTGCTAGTTTTATTTTGAGCTTTTCAAGTGCCTGTTTTGAATACAATTTAAATAAACATTTATATTGTTTAATAAATTTATTTATTAAATTATTAATTAATATAAATAATTATTTTATTTAGAATAATTTTGTTTGACCTCTTTTAAATAACCAGTTATTTAAATAAATTAAATTTAAAAGAACAAAGAACTTTTAACCATTTTCCAATATTTCTTTTTGCAGCATTTTAATTTTGAATTTTAAAATCAAAAAAATTTTTTTAAAGAAATGTCATGAATTAAAAATATATTTATTTCTATTTTAAGTCACCATATGTCGTCTTTTCCAAAATTTTTTCCTCCAAAAATCTTTCCTTATATCTAACAGATTTTTACTTTAATTTCACAAAATATATTTAAAACACGCAAAACACATTTATATATTAAAATATATTTTTAATATATTTTTAATATCCTCCTCCTTAATATCCTCATCTCTCCCTTTCTCTCCCTCCCCCCAACCATCTGTCCCAAAAATATTTCTGTTTTTGTTTCAATGTCCACCTATATATTTCTGCTAAAACTGAATGAATGCCCTCTTCTCCCGCATTTTAAACATCAAAACAATCATCGATCTTTCCCCCTCATTTTTATTTTAGTTGACAAAAGCTTTTTATTTACTTGCTATTTTAAACTTTTTTTTTAAATTTTTATATTAAATTAATATAAAATTAATATTTAATTTAAATTTTAATTAAATATCAATCATTTATGGCAACGGCTTTACTTAGAAGGCAACTCATCCATCCAACGCGGCTTGCCGAGTTGAGTTGAAAATTAATGAGATTAGCTGAAATTTGAACACAAATAAGCGATTAACTAGACCAATTTACCAAGAAGGTATTGATCAAATTAAGATTATTACTTCTGTTGGATATATTTTTGATATCTTTAAACAGACAAAATATAATAATGAAATAGCACGTATTTTATGAATCGAAATTCGAATCAACTCCTCATGAGAATGAGATTTCTTCATTTGTGTATTTTCCATTAAATAGTTGGGTGGGGAGAGGATTGCATTAAGTCTCTAATTATTTTGTTATCTTTTATTGAACCTGATTAAAATTTAAATAAATAAATTTATATTTAAAAACAGGTATTTATTTTTAAAATAAAAAGAAAAACTTTTTTCTCATACCTTTATTTTATTTTTTTTTTTATTTATTTGTGCGCATCTTTTCATTCTAATTAATTTTTTTATATTACAAAGAAAGCCGCCATCATATATAAACTTGTTGATTAAAAATAAATTTAGCCATTAAAGCTTTAATTTTTAAACAAAATTATATCTTTATATTTAAGGGATAAAAAATATTTTTAACAATTTTTTGAAATTTTTTCTTCAATTCCTTTAAATATTTTTGTTTTTAATTAATTATAATTAGGTATATTTTAATTTCCAAACAAATATATTTAAAATTAAAAACATTAAAAATCGAGCAGTCAATATTTGTGTGTTTTTATTATTTTTTACAAACACAGCTTTTAATTTATTTTTATATTTGTTAAAGCTTTTAGGTAGCGATCAGCTGCCCATATATGTATGTATGTTATTTACTTATTCCCTTTTCCCACATTTTTCTTTACTTTTTTTAACATTTTTTCTTTTAAAAAGATTTACCGATATTTAATTTATGTTTAGTTCCACAGAAACATACACAAAAAATCTTCTATTTATTAAGGAATATTTGAATAAACAACCAAATAATTTGGGTAAAGGCACATTTTTTAAATATTTTTTAGACAGTTTTGGTTAATTGTTTTGAATTATATTTTGTTCAAAATTTTTAATTAATTTAATTTAAAATTACTCCCCCCCCTCCTCCCCCTCTCTTTTTATTAAATTACTATATACAATTAAAAATTTTTTATTAAAAATGTTGCTTTTTTTCATTATTACTGACGTCCAGTCGTGATCCAGTCCATTATTTAGTTTATTTATGTGTTGAATGTCCGCACCGGTTAATTCTAAAAAATTCTTCTTTTTAAGATTTTCATTGAATGAGAGAGGAGGAGGATAGAAAAAGTTTTCTTTTTTATTTACTTAATTTAAATTCTTTTTCTCAAATATTCTTCCCAAATTTGTATATTTATTTTTAAAAGATTATCCTTTTATTTTTCTTTTCTCCGATTTTTTTATTTTTAGCTAATTTACTTTAGGTAATTTTTAGATATTATTGATTGTTTAAATTAATTTGATTTAAATTATTTTCTACAAAATTTCTAGAAATTAAAATTAAATATTTCTAAAATTTAATTTAAAAGTAAAAGGGCTTCTTTTTGTTTTAAACTTATTCAGCGGAATGGAATGTTTAAACAATTGTGTGCATTTTACTGGAATTTTGATGCAAATCACTCTCTACACACATACACAATTGGAAAATAAAATTTTGCCCCCTCCCTCCCCCTCTTCCCCCACCTTACGCGCCCTCCGTAAATTTTACGCAATAATTTAAATATACATATATTTATAACCCCCTTTTATTTCTCCGTCATTGGAATTTTATTTTTATATATTGCAAATAAATAAATAAATTTTAGAAAATATTTAATTAAAATATTTTTTTTAATTTTTGTATCAATTGTTCTTCTTGATCCTTACAAAAATGTACTTTTTAAAATTGTTACGAAAAATAAGATTTAAGAAAATTAAATTAAAATTAAAATTAATTTATTTAAAAATACAAAACAATTATTTATTTATTTTAAAAATTCAATTAATATTTTTATTTATTTTTTCATTTAATTTAATTTTTTTCACGGAACTTTTACCCGTTTTAATTTTTATTTATTTTAAATTAATTTTATTTTTATTTATTCACTTCATTTAACATTAAATAATTTTTTAAATTATATTTTCTTTTTTTTCTTTTGTTTGATTAAATCAACTTTTATATATTTTTTTGTATATTTCACTTACAATAAAAAATAATTTTCTCCGTTTTTTTTTTAAATTTCTTTTAATTTAATTTTTAATATCTAAATAATTAATTAGAAACAGCTCTCTAAAGGTTATTTTTGTTGAAATAAATTTTTTTCAAATATTTTTTTAAAATATTTCCTTTTTAATATTTATTACTTCCAATCACTTTTATACATGTATTTTTTATTATATTTTGACATTTTTTAAATTAAAAATTCCTTTTATTTCCCTCAAAACTACCCTTTTAATTTTATTTAATTATTACGTGTCTCCAAATTCCTTTAATCTTTTTCTATTTTAAATTCCGCATATTCTTTTATATTTTTATCATTTATTCCCTTTAAATTATTCTTAAGTTTATAAAATTGATTAAGAAAATGGCCGTTTTTATTAAAATTTATTGGGAAATCAATTTAATATTCCTTTTTATTTGATTGATTATTTATTTAAATTATTATTTAATCTAAAATTTTATTTTTTTTGATAATAGTTAGAAAATATTTAAACGGAAATTCAAGGTGGCCTAGAAATTCAAGGTGGCCTAGACCACTAAAATTAAAAAAAAGACATTATTACTGAAAATATATTTTAACAAATTTTTAGACAAATCCGCCGCATTTAGTAATTTTTAAAATTTCAAAAACAAAAATTATTTTTTATTTTCTTTGTAAATACTGTAAAAGTTAAAAATGGGGGATGGGGGAGGCGAAAAAGTTAAAAATAAGGCAACCCCCGTTTCTGGGCATTCTGCAAAAATTCGAATTTATTCAGAATTACTTTTAGAACTAAAAATTTTATTTTAAAAAATTCTTTTTTTAACATCAAAAATCATTCTTTATTTCTAAATAAAAAGAAAATAAAAATTTAACTCAAATTTCAAAAAATAAATTTTTAATTCATATGTACAAGTTGAAAACTTTATTTTTAAAAATCCAAAAATCATTAAATAAATAAATATTTTTATTTGTGTTTTCTTGCATTGATTTCTTTTTTTTTATTTATTTTATTTTTGAAATTTAATACTAAAAACATTTTTAATACTTGCTAAAACTAAAAACTACAACAAAAAAACGGGACGAACAAAATACACAAAAATGGAAATATTATATTTAAGTATTTATTTTGGAAATTTTTTTCTTAGGATTTTTTTACAAAATTACAATTTTTTACTTAAATTTATTTTTACTCCCTCACAGATGTTTTAACCCTTTTTTAAATTTTTTTCAAAAATAAAATATATTAAAAATAAACAGAATATTTTTTAAATATTAAATTTCTTTTAATTTTTAAAAATTTTTTCATTTTTTATTTTTGTTTTTTCCTTTTCAGACTTGAGAACATCCTTAGCAATAATCATCGGGATATCAAAATCCTAAAATCAAGTGAAAAAAAATCAAGTTTATATTTTTAAAATCAAGTTTATATTTTTTTATTTTGTCCTTTGGTCTCGACATAGTTGCCTTTTTATTTTTATAGACTATTATGTACATATTATTATTGTTTTTAATCCTTTATTTATTATTTAAAATAATTATTTAAATTTTTTTCTCTTTTTTTCATTACGCAACTTTTAAATAATAGCAAATATTTATTTTTACTTAAATATTTTTTTATTAATTGTCCTTTAATTTTGAATTTTATTGAAATATTAAATTTTTTCTTATAAAAAATAAATTAAAAAAAATATTCAGATAAACACTAAGATTTTAATTAATAATTTTTTTTGATTTTTAATTTAAAAGATTTAAATATTTTTTAAATATAAATATGAGATTTGATCAACAACAAATACGTGAATGTTCAAAAAGTGCAAATAATTCATCTTCTAGCCTTTTAAATAACGTCTTTCCTCAACATTCTTCTTCCTCTTCTTCTTCCTCTACTAGACAAAATATTTCTGCAAAATTTAAAAGAGCATCTTCAGTTAGTGCTGTTGCCCCAACAACAATTAATAATTGTAAAAATGTAGAATATATTAGTGTGGATTTATTTGGATCTACAATACAATGTGTTGGAAATAATGGAGGAGGAGGAGGAGGTGGAGGAGGAAATGTTGGAAATAGAAATGCTAGAAGTGTTACAGATACTGGAACTGCACAATTAGTTAATTAACTTCTTTAAAAATATTATCTCAAAAATATTTTTAAGATAGAAGCAATTCCTGGTCGTCGTTTGATTGACTGTTTGGGCCCATTTTTGGAAAGACATGGAATACCTGTTGGGTGTGCAGAATTTTTACTAGAAAAATCAACAACACCAATACCTGAAACGTCAGATTCTTTCTTTCTTGCAGGACATAAAATTTTTGTTAGAGGTGTTTAATAAATTTATTTTTAATAAATAAAGATAAGATTTTTAGGTCGTAAAAAAACTAAAAATAGGTAGGTACCTGAATAGGTGACAATTATTTGCTGTAAAAATAAGATCTTCAAACAATAACGGATTTGATCTTTTCATACCACAACTATTCCAGGAAAAATAGATTATAACCTAAAAGTCCGATCCCTAATAATTAATTACTAAATATTTACTTTAAAAATTTAATTTTTAAGAAAAAAATTTTTTCTAGTTAAAAATAGCGCCGCTACAAACGCCGGTACATGGTCTTCTGGTTCTTCAGTAACAGCAATGCAACAGCGTCAAAAACAACAACAACCCAGACGAGAGACACGCCGTCGTTGTTCTGGTGTTAGCACTTTTCTCGGTGCTTTTACAAATAAAGATGAAAATATTTGTGGAAAGAGAAGAGAATGTGGATGTATGGGATCGCTTGAGGGGCAATCTACAAAATCAGCAACAATAATGACTACGTCATCAGATTCTTCTTCTTCTTTTACAACTCCTCTTCTTCCAAAAGAAGAGGAATTAGATGGAAGGCAGACTAAAATTACACAGCAATCCTGCGAAGTTGCAAAATGCGAGAAAGAAATAATTTCTCCAATAGACAACAAAAATATTCAAGAAAATAATATAGTAAATATTGGTGACCAAAAATTCGAAGAAAATAATAATGTTGAGGAAGGAGAAGTAGAAGAATTGTCTACAAAAGAAGGAATTTTACTAGTGGACAATAACAACAAACTAAATAATAATAAGAATGTGACAACCGATAAAGAAGGGCGAACACTGCGCAAACAAACAACGACTAAGAACGGCAATAATAATAAAAATAATTTGGAGGAAAAAATTTGTGTTAAAAGCAACATTAATAAGAAAATTGAAGGAATGCAGAAAGGTCCTTTCTCTTCTTCTTCATCCTTCTTTTCATCATCTGGTAAAACTGCTGCTGGGTGTGGTAATAATTCCTCTTCTTCTTCATCTTCTACTATTCGATCATCTACAACAAATATTAGTAGTGGCAAATTAATTACAAATAATTCAAAAAATAATTTTAACTCATCGTTATCATCCACCACGGGGCCTATTACTCCAATAAATTCATTTTCTTCTTCATTTTCTTCTTCCTCCCTTTCACCTCTGGTCAGTGAAGGAGGTGAAAAAGGAAGAATCCCTACAACAACAACAATATCAAAGGCAACTGTGACGACATTACTACCTGTCTCCGCAGCCGCGCGAAAATCGTCCTTCACGCAAAAGAGGAGCAGAATGATGATTGTGAGTTTTCTCTTAAGTTTTTCTTCTCTTTTCCTCAATTCTCAGCTTGTATTCTCATTTGTCATCAAACACATACTAAATACTACATTGTTGTCATTATTATGCTCTCCTTCCTTTACTATTAACAACAACCTTCTTTCTTTCAAACATTTACTTGCTAATTCTTTTTTTTAATTTTTACTGTCCGCTTACCACATCTGAGATTCCTTTCTATTTTTTTAACAGAAAATTTTCTACCCTTAAGATTATTTAACCAATTTTTGATCTGTTATATTCTCTATACATTCACAAAAAATTTTTCTAAAAATTTAGCAAAAATTTCCAAATTTTAAACATCTCAATATAATAATTATATATATCTAGAATTTTTTTCTTTAAATAAAATTATTTTTTAGATGGGCAAACATGGTCGATGTCCCTCAACTTGTCCAAGCACTTCTCCTCCTCCCTCAGATTCTATAAATTCTACAAACATAACAACAACCAATTCTTGTTTAGATTCACCTGATCATTTATGTCCAAATCCTTCTAATATAATTAATTCTTCCTCTCAATTACCACAAAAACGTAAAAGTTCTTTAAATTCCGCAGCATCACTTGCCGATGCTCCTCCAACTTTAACTGCTATTTTTGGTGGTGCCGCACATAATTCTCACAGTAGTAGTGACTTTCTTTTAAATCGTCATGGACGTTCTAATGTTTTGGACGAATTTATGTCAGAAGAACATAAGGGGGTAAATTTACCCATACCTAGAGGAGTAATTACTCTTTTAAAATTTCTTTTAGATTTCTGGTTCTCAACAAATTCCAACTAGTTGTAGTCTATTACAACTTCAACATCAACAAAATTGTAGTGATGATACTTCGTTAAATTCACACTCAATTGGAGGAGGGGGATTTATTGTAAGGCGAAAACACACTGTTGGATCTGTGGGGACGGTAAACAGCATTCAATCAACAATTAATTCTTGTGGTGGTACTACAATTGGAAGAAAAGGAATTTTCTTTGTTAAGGTGGATAAAATTTTAAACCCATTAATAAAGTCTGGTTCTTAGTTCACAAATATCAAATTAACAAACTTTGTTGAATAAGGCTGACCAGGGTGGCCTTTTCCAAACCACTAAAATAGGGCGCAAGTACTCAAAAATAGGGAAAAAATAAGGCGAAATCGGTCAAAAGTCGGTCGTCGACCACGACCACGTCAAAATGACCGTCGTCGACCACAACCACGTCAAGATGACTGTCGTCGACCACGACCACGGTCGTCGACCACGAACACGTCAAGATGACCGTCGTCGACCACAAACACGTCAAGATGACTGTCGTCGACCACGACCACGGTCGTCGACCACGAACACGTCAAGATGACCGTCGTCGACCACAAACACGTCAAGATGACTGTCGTCGACCACGACCACGGTCGTCGACCACGACCACGTCAAGATGACCGTCGTTGACCACGACCACGGTCGTCGACCACGACCACGTCAAGATGACCGTCGTCGACCACAAACACGTCAAGATGACTGTCGTCGACCACGACCACGGTCGTCGACCACGACCACGTCAAGATGACCGTCGTTGACCACGACCACGGTCGTCGACCACGACCACGTCAAGATGACCGTCGTCGACCACAAACACGTCAAGATGACTGTCGTCGACCACGACCACGGTCGTCGACCACGACAACGTCAAGATGACCGTCGTTGACCACGACCACGGTCGTCGACCACGACCACGTCAAGATGACCGTCGTCGACCACAAACACGTCAAGATGACTGTCGTCGACCACGACCACGGTCGTCGACCACGACCACGTCAAGATGACCGTCGTTGACCACGACCACGGTCGTCGACCACGACCACGTCAAGATGACCGTCGTCGACCACGAACACGTCAAGATGACCGTCGTCGACCACAAACACGTCAAGATGACTGTCGTCGACCACTAACACGTCAAGATGACTGTCGACATCTTGAAATTTTAAAAATTGATAAAAATAGGGCAAAATATGGCAAATGTACAAAATAGAGAAAAAATAGGGCGAAAAGATCATAAATAGGGAAAATCCTCTATAAATAGGGTAAAAAGGCCACCCTCTAAACCCGAAAAGTACCGGAATATGATTCTAATTCCTTAAGACAGTTGCAAATTATTCAAACCCATTTCCTTTTAAGAAATTCATTTTTGTATTCAGTCAAGTTCTCACTCTAATTTTTTAAATTAATTTAAGGAGAAACTAACACCTATTTTGGAACGTTTATTTGTTCAAGCAGTTTCCAGTCGTTCACAAGAAACAGAATTAAATTCTCTACTAAATTTAGAACAACATTGGACAGAAATTGTTAATATTCAAAAAGTTCAAAATAAACGTCAAAGCGAACAACAAGAAGCTCTTTGGGAAATTGTTTCCACAGAACGACGTTATATTCTTCAACTTCAATTACTTGAAGATTTAGAATGGTGTTTAATTGAATTACAGCGTCAGGGGTACCTTAGAGATATTAACAGACACTGTGTTTTTCTTAATTATTCTCAACTATTACGTTGTAATTTACATTTTTGGGCTTCTGCTATTGGACCTATGCTTCAAAAATCAAGGTGAAATAAAAAAGAAGAAAAAGATATTCCAAAATATAGGAAAATATCTGTTCCCATCCCATTTTTTTTCTAAGACCATTTTAATTTAAATATTTCGAGCCAGAATAATTTGTTGTTAAATTATTTTAAAAAATTAATTTTATAATTTAAAGAGAAACAAAAGATCCATTAAATGCTTTATTACTTCGGCACGGCTTTGAATCAATTTTGGATTGGTCTTTGTGTTATATAGATTTTAATATTAGTTTATCTGAAAGTCATTCTTATGTTCAAAAGAAACAAAAAGAAAATGAAATGTTTGGGGAATTTGTACGTTGGGCTGAACAACATACTTTATTAAATAGACAAAAACTTGTTGATGCACTTAGTGGGCCAATGCAAAGAATTACTAGATATTCACTTTTATTAAAAGCTGTACAGAGAAGTGCTGCTGATACTGAAGAAAAATTAGTTATACAAGTAATTTTTTTGTTAAAATGAGTGGATTTTTAAAATGCCATTTTTGATTGGATAAATAAAAATTGTGAAGATATCTCTTCAGCCAAAAATATACCTAGATAATAATAATCATTTTTTAAGTCAATGATTGATTGTGTTGAAGCAGCAACTCTTCGATTAAATTATGAAATGAATAATAATGATCTAAGAATACAATTAGCAGAATTAATGAAAACAATTGAAAGTTATGATGTTATAGACAATGATGAATTTGAGAGATTATTTCCCCTTCCTCCTTTAACAAATTTTAATAATTTCCAACAAAATAACAATTATCAACAACAACAACAATTATTATTTGCTGCAATTAATAGGCCTCCCCCACATTTTAATTTACTTTTACCTATGCCCTTTCTCGGTTTACAACAACCAAAATTTAGAAGAATGTATACACGGGGAGATTTAAAAATGCGTGAAGGAAAACAAAATCCTAAAGTAAAAAAAAGATTATTATTTTTATTGTGTTTATGTTAGGGAAAAAGTAATTGGATAGAAGATGGAATAAAACGAGTAATCGCGAAATAAGCCTTGATTGAAGCACTATCGAGTGTGCCAACATCCATCCCGTTATTGGGTTATCTTTATTTATTTTCCTTCTGTAGTTGGGAGGGGCACAACAATTTTTAATCTTTTACTTCCTCTCTTGAAATAAAAAAATTATTCAATAATTAATTTTAAGCAAGAAATTCATTGTATTTTATTCACCGATATGCTTTTAATATGTAAATCTGTGTCAAGACGTAATGACCGATTAAGAATTATAAAACAACCAATGCATATTTCTAATCTTAGATTTCACCATTTTAGTGAAGGAAGTTTGTGCTTAATTTGTTTAAATTTATTTAAATATGTAATTAATTTCTAGCTGGTTTTTATTTAATTTGTATGAACGAATTTGAATCTCCCTCACATTTTCTTTTAATGTTTACTGCTGGAATAGAAGAAACTAGAAGGTGGTTAGAAATGATGGCAATGGCACAGCAAGATTTTGCCTCTTTAAGGGCTGCAGCAACAACAAATAATGGCAATTGAATTGAAATTTAAATTAAAAATAATTTTTTTTCCAGATAATTTTTTTGGTGAAAAATTTTTAACTAATTATTCTAATCAAATGACAAATAATTGTTGTAATAGAAATTGTACATTTTCTGCTGATACTCTTAGGCAAGTTGTTCAACAACAACAACAAAAACACCAACATTTTGTTTGTAATTGTTGTTCTAATAATGTTTTACACAGAAAAAGTCGGAGTATGGATTCACAAGTTGGAAAAAGATTAAATAATTTTAAGAAAAAATAAATTTATTTTTAAGGTAATAATGGCTACAACAAGTGATTCTTGCTGTGATAATTTATTAGAGAATAATGATTTAATTAATTCACTAAATCAAAAACAAAATAAAGAATTTTTGTGTCAATGTGAAATAAAAGAAAAGGAGAAAGAAGTTTTTGTTGAAGAATTAAATAAAGAGGGGGAGGAAATTGAAATAAATAAAAATATTTTAAATGAACAAAAAAGGAGGGAACGTTTAGGAAGACAACAAAGATTTCAGGGAAATTCAAATAACAAAGAATCCTTGCCTTCTTTTGATCAAAATATTGAAAATGATAAAAATGGTGAATTTTTATTGATAGGAAGTAAAAAAAGGAGGGGGGGGGGTAAGTTTCTGAAAAATTTTCTTGCATGGATGGGGATGTTGATGGGGTTACCTAATATAATGTAGACTATAATATTGTCATTAATTTTTATAAAATTCAATTCTCTTTGTTGATTTTTTATTCATTTCAACAATTTTTAGATAAAATTCCAACAGATAAAGATTCTTCTACCATTCCAACTTCAACAGAGAATTCTTCTGTATCCACAGATCATTCTGTTGTTTTGCATGCAATGAATGTAGCAGCAAATACTGCTGCTGCTATAGTTACACCTGTTGTTGTTTCTAATATTGGTTTAAATACTTCTTCTTTACCTCAAAATGGTTGTTTTATAAGAGAAAATAATTTTAAAAATTAATTCTTTTAAAGATTCTCAACAAAATATTTCTTCTTCCCCAATTCCAAATACTTCACCAAGTACTAATAATCAAAGACGTTTTGAAAAACGTTATCATACTGTTGGTGAAATTGACACAGTTAGACGCCAAACACAGAAACAATTTTCTACTTTAGCAAACAAACATAATTGCACAAATGGTAATTAAAATAAAATTTTAAAAAATCTTTTGACAATAAAAATTCTATTTTCAAAAAAAACTTTAACTAAACCAAAGTTCCCGTACGAGTAGAAATTTTGGTACGAGCGTATAGCACGCTTCCTACTATGTACCAATCCAAAGGGTCTCCACTATAAACCATATTTCCTTCGTTTTACTGCTAAATAAAAATTTATTCAAAATTTAAATAAAATTATTCATTAATTATTAGATGGATGTAATAATAATTTACTAACAAATGTTGAAGGAGAATGTACTTCTATATTAAATTCCTCAGATTCAAGTAATGTCTGTAATACAGAAATTCCCTCAAATATTTGTAATTCTTCTAATGCTAGTGGAATATTAAAACGTTTTTCTTGGAATGTTTCAAGCGCAATGAGTGGCTCTTCAAAGAAAATATCTTCAAAATTACAAGAATTGGTTCGAATAAATATTTTTTGAAATATTTTTTTTAATTTTTTTTAAAGAATGGAAGACGTTTTAGTTCACAATCAACAATGTCCTGTTTATCTTCGGAATCTTTTGCTTCTTCTTCTTCGGGAATATCCTCTGCTTCTTCTCTACATTCTTCCCATCATTCAACAGAAACAGCTAGTTCTAATACAACAGCACACTTTTCCTGTGGAGAACCCTCTTCTATTTCGTCAAATCCTGTTTGTTCCTCAACAACATCTACACTCCAAATAGCAGAATATAATACAGATTTAGATGATAGACAAACACCCCAACAACAATTAATTGATTCTTCTTCTGATAAAAATATTGTTGAAATTCAGCCTCATAGACTTGTAATTGATATTCAAGATGATATTCAAAAACTAGAAGATAAAGAACAAACAAAAATGAAGGAACAATCAAATATTGAAAATAAACAAAAAATAAAGGAAAAAAATTTTGAAGAAAAAACCGATTTAAATGAAAATAAAAATTCCCCTTCCCCTCCACCCCTTCCTCTAAGCCAACCACCCCAATCATCAACATCATCCTCAACTGAAAATGTTACTTTTAATAAGGATGAAACTGAGAAAACCGAACAAATTGAAGAACAAGAAGAATATTTTAGTTTAAGACCTAGAGTTGGTGCTATGAGTAGTTCAAATACTTCTACAGAAGCTTGGAATAAAAATCAAAGAAATAAACAAAATAATTCAACAGTAAATAAACTTCCCCCAATTCCCCCAACTCCTCCCGCAAAGCCAGTAAATATTAACAACAATAATCGTCAATCTTCTCCTATTTCTAAAGATAAAAAAGTATATTTTTTTTAAATTTTGTTTGGATTCTTTATTTATTTTTTTAGAAAACAACAAATTGTGGCAATACTTCAGATGATAGTAATGAAAATGAATTGATGAAATTAATTTTAAATGATAGGCTAGAAACATCGTAAATTTTTAAACAAAATTCCAATTAAAATTTATTTTTAAGGGAAATTTAAAATGTTTGGAGAGAAAGTACTAGTTTTGTGAAGAAAATTATGTGCATTGTTTTTTATGTTAAATTAATTAGGGTGTAAAATATGTTTTTAAATATTTAATGAATTTTTAATTACAAAGCTAAAATAAATTTAATTTATATCTTGTTTAAAGCGTTTTTTCCAAAAACTTAAAGTTAAGGAATAAGAGTTTTCAATGAAATATCGTTTTAATTTAATTTAAAATAATGTTTGTCTAACAATAAGAACATGTTATAAGATGTTTTAGTTTTTTGAGAAGTTTTATAAATTTTCCTTTATTTAGTTTCACATCTATAGATTCTTCTCGATAAATCAAATGCTTAGACAACGAAATAGAAAAATCTTTAAATAGTTAATTTGTTATGCGAATTTACTTGATTATCGTTGTTGCAAAATTATACGCAACCCCCCCCCCCCCTCGCAAATTTTTTTAAATTAATCGTAAAATCCATAAAAATTTTTCTGAACATAGAAAATAAAAAAGAAATGAAGTTCTAATGTTTTCGCGGCATAAAGATCTGAAAATCCGAAAATTGACGGAAAACCTGGGGTTGACGGAAAACCTTTTCTAAGTTTTTGCTGAAAAATTCCTGCAAGTGAATATCAAATCGGGTTTAATATTGAAAAATGAATAGTGGACTGTTGATGAAAAAATGAACAAATTGAGGGAAAACTTAGTACTTTACCCGAGTCGGTTGCTGGAATTCAATTAAATTTAGGGAATAGTAAAATAAGATTTTACGCAATTTCTCCCGAAAGATGAAATACTATTATGTTAAAGCAGCTCAAGGCTTATGACAAAAAATATGAGATCATCCATCGAGAGACCTAAAGTCTTGGACATTTCTAAGACCTGCATTTTTCAAAAAATTGCAATTATTTTAAATTCATTAGGAGTAATTTAAAATAATATTCAACAATGTTTTATCAACAACAATTCAATGACAGATATTTCATTTAAATATTATATCTCAATTACGTTTCTTTGTCGATTTTGCAACAGTTCCTTCGCGAAAGTTGTTTCGGAAACGACGGTGCACGATTTTCAAATGTCGCATTCTACCAGTACCAGTTGTACGACGGCGAATAGATTTCACTGACCTTTAAATAAGAACATTAAAATATTACATTTAAAATTAGAAGTAATTTTGATTCAAGAATTCCTTTTTTTATATCTATAGGCGTGTCTATTTCATTTTTGACCTTTCTTATTTTCAGCAATTATTTGGTCCCCCTTTTCGAAAAAAATTTTTAATCAAGCAAAGAGAGATGATTCGAGAGGCCTTCAGAATAATTAAGATCAGTTATTGTAGCGCTTTGCGTAAGTGATTATCACAGGAATTTTTTGCCTAAACGAAGCTCCAAGGCATCCAAAATCATTCTTCAAAATTAACTAAAATTCTATGTATCTACATAACTTTATAACCATATAGGTTCACTTTTCCAATATCCTAGCCTCTCAATAACGATAGAGCAGATAGGATGAAAACAATAGACAAACTTTGTTAGGAATACTAAATCTCTAGTCCAATTAGACAAACGGTTTAAAGAAATCATACCATTGATAAGTTCGTTTACGAGCAGCCGGATATCCGCACGATGAACACTTATGCTTTTGAATGTGGTAAGAAGAACGGCCACATCGTCGACAAAGCGTATGCGTCTTATTATGACGCTTTCCAAACGAAGACGTTCCTTTTGTCATTCTTCAAAAGATTAACTAAAATTGCTTCAAAAATTTAAATATAATAAAACAATTAATAAATGAAGGTTAAATAAAAAACCAATATATGAAATTATTATAAATTAACAAAACTTTTATTAAATAAACAACAAAATAAAACTTGTTGTATTTGCAACAAATCAGACAACAACATTCATTACATTTATTCCATAACTTCTCTTTCTATCAATTTTCCTGCTCTTCACCATCCACTAGTACCTGAGTTCCAATCACCTCCTTGTTGAGTTTGCTGCTGCTGAGGCTGTTGCTGACCAATTGGTGCAGTAGGTGCAACCTGAGCCTCCTCTTCTTGAGGCCACTCAGAAGCCGCAGCCCAATCACTAATAAGCGGAACGTTGAAGTCCAGTTTTACCGGCTCAGTCGGTGCAACATAATCGGCCTGCTCTATGGCTTGAGGCCAAGTTTCCTTATGCTCAGATTCAACAGGTTCTTCCTTTTCTGCCTCTTGCGGATCACGGTGGAAGTACAAATCAGGCATGACATATTTACCATCAACAACAAAGCCAGTTTGGCGACTGATCTTTCCGCGGAGCAACAAAACCTCACGAGCAAGTAACCACCAAACCAATCCAATTGAGTATTTATTCTAAAAGAAGTATATGTACACTAAACACAAAACAAAAAACCTTAAGATTGCAAGGAATTGCGATATCGATAAACTTCAGAGGCGAATCGGTATTGCAAAATGCAATCACAGGCACATTCACATAAGACGCCTCAGTAAGAGCCTGATGATCGATGCGCGGATCGGAGACAACCAGAAGACGTGGCTCCTTGAAGTTTTTCTGGATTTGATTTGTCAATGATCCTGGAGTAAAGCGTCCAACGATAGGTGTAGCGCCAGTATGTGAAGCAAACTAAAGAAAATTGTGCTGTATACGAAAATTCAAAATAACCTTTAGAATGGCTCTTTGTGCGACACCCATGGCAGAGACGACAACAACGTCAGCAGGATTTTCGATGGCAGCAATGGCCCGTGCAGCAAACAGCAATTTCTCCCACAACTTTCGAATGTTAATAATGTGAACACCTTAAACATTCCGTAATGTTTAAACACTAATAAAAATCAAACCGTCAGCACGTCGCTTCCAAACATAATTCTCCATTTGATAATCCAAAGTTTTGGTTCCAACATGAGACTCACAAACAAGCAACTTCATTGCTTCGTCATCCGTCAAATTGAAAACGTCAAGTCCGTTAGACATTGATTTTTATAATTTGAAATTGACCTAAATCTTTAATTTTATAAAAATAAAATAAAAAAAGGAAATCATAAGAATTATAAATTCAGAGCAGAAAGAAAGATGAAACAAAATGTGATCAAAAACAAGAAGATCTGGATACTCGGAATCGAACAAAAGAATCCAAGTCTTCGGTTCGGTCCCGAAATGAAACTTTACTGTCTTCCAAAGCCCGTTTGAGTCAGAAAGAAAAGTGAGACAAATGGCCGTTTCAGAATTGGCCGTTTCAGAATATTTAACAGTTTCATCAAAAAGATAAGGAATCTCGAGACTTCGATATAATTTTGCTTATAATTCTGATATAATTGTGCTAGTATATTTCATTCTTTTATTTTGTTATAGAATTCTGATGGGAAAAGATAGCGGCGAAATTTTAAAGTTATGTGATGAAGCTGAGTTCGTTTTATTTTTCTAAACTATTTATAATTCCTAACTTTCAGAGGCTCTGATTCGGATTCAGATATTCAAGTACTTTACGAAGCTGACGCAAGCAATGTGATGCCTGAGCCAGACTCGGGTTTTTCTTTTTTCATTGACACTTCTTGTACTGATTCTTGCGAGAAAGATTCTCCTTCAACTACTAGTAACGGGTGAGTAATTTTGAATTATCTTATCAATAAGTCAAATCCTCTAATTATCCAGTATTTTTTTACTTTTAGAATTTTGAATTCATCGAATATTCTATCTCATTTGATTGAAACTCCTTCAAGTGATAGCACGCCAAAAAATAATAATCGCAGATCTGATAGGGTAATATTAATTTTTTTATCAATTAAAAAATCTTTTAGGCTTGTTTTAATTGTAATTCTTTTGATCACACCTCTCGTGAATGCCCCCATCCAATAAATAATGGACGTATTGCAAAAAATCGAAAAAGTTTTATGCAAAAAAGAGAATCTGGTAGATTCCACGAACATACCCAAACAGATGCTCTAGCAGCTGGTAAAATAAGTAGACGATTGAGAGAAGCGTTGGGGATTAGCGAGAGGGATTTGCCAGAGTGGATTTATAGAATGCGAGAACTTGGATTTGTTCATGGATATCCTCCTGCTTACAGAAAATGGTTAGAAAACTTTTTTTTATTAATTCAAGTTATTTCTAGTGCTACTGAACTATCAGTTTTTAAAATGCATTTTGGTGAAAATGCTGATAGAAAGCGAAAACATGATGAAATTAAAGGTGGGAAAATGTGTGGAAAATTTTAATTTTTATAATTTAGAAGATGTTAATTTGAGAATTGATCCAGAAAAGATTATTAAATATGCGGGATTTAATTACGATGATGGCCATTTTAGAGATGTATGTGTTAATATTTTTTAAATTGAAAATTAATAATTTTTAGAAAAGAAAAGAACGTTATCGAATACCTCCGTGGAATGAATTTGTTAATGTTCAAGAAGTTTATCTATTACAAATGGATGTAGTTGAAAAAATGGAAAAAGAAATAGAATCACCGTCTAACCCAAAGAAATCAAAATTAGATTATTCAAACAAGGGAAAAGATTCTGATAGTGAAGACGATTCTGATATTCTAATAGTGGATACTCGGCCAAATAGTAATGGCCTTGAAGATGGGGAAATACCTAGTGAAAGAATTGTTGATTTAGAAACAAATGTTGTTGTTCGGAGAAGAAAGGTTTTAGTAAACATAAAAATGTGAAAGTGTTTTTTAATTTTAGGAAGAAATTGCTACAACTATTATGCATATTCCACCAGAGGAAAATAAAAATTTGACAAATGAGAATAAAAAAGATGAAGAAAAAATAATAGAACAAGATAATCAAAAAATAAATGATGAGCGAAAAATAATTGATGAAATGCGAATTCCTGCCGAGAAGCTAATTTTTAACGACAAAATTAATTATGATGTTAGAAAACCTTCACTTGATAGTTTTGCGCAAGTTTTGACAAAATTCTTTTAATTTAAGTATTTAAAATTCTATTTTAGATATTCAACCATTTAGACATCAAGTTATTGGAAAGAGTCTTGGATTTGTAAAACGTTTACAAAATATTATGAAAGATGTAAAAGAGAAGGCAAAAAAGAATATTTAATAATAATTGTGTTATTTTGAGATTTTAAATTAAATTCTGTAAAAATAGTTTTTACATTGTTTTTTCCCAAGTGTTAGTAAACATTAAAGTATGCTTATTGTTTTAATTTTTTATTCAATGTACAGTGTTTTTATACATACCTTATATGTCAGTAATTTTAAACTTGAGTTGGGTTCCGTAAATTTTTCGTTCCTGGACTCGTTAACTTATTGATGTAAATTTGGGATAGTTAGGAAAAATTTTAGAACACTAACTAAACAGGTTCGATCTAGGTAATTTATGTATCATTCCAAAGAGCTTGTCGAGTGAGTCAAATGGTATAAAAATTAGATGGTATAAAAATGAGTAATAATTACTGTTGGCGGGTCCGGGGATTCCCCAGGACTCACCACCCCCTAGCGGATCCAGGGCTAGATTTCCAATTTTAAGAGATACATATCTTGGTCCATAATAGAGTACGCAGCCTAATTATGTAACTTTCGACTCGGCTCGATGAGTTCTCTCGAATGACATAGATTACCCAGATTGGTACTTGTTTAGTATTCCGAAATTATTGGATAGTTAGCCTGGGTTGGCGGATCCTGGAAGATCCACAGATATTCGATATCGGATCTGCGTTATAACCATTTTTAAATTCCGAAAAATTATTGGTAATAGATGTTCAGTTTTAAGCCAGCTGCGCGTGGGATTTTTCTAAAAGGTTCATTGGGTGAGGTTTGATCCACTCTCTTATTCGTAATTTTGAAAATTAAACTGCTTCAAAAAAATCTCGTTGTTATCGAAATCACAACAATTAATAACCTCTTACAAACCCGTAAGGCTAAATTCTGCATGTAAAATATTAAAAATTTTGAATGATCCTATCCGAAAGTAGTAATAATTGCTACATACTATTTCAATTACCTATTTTTAGATTTACTTTAATAATTTCAAGAACATTAATTAATAAAACAGTCTAAATTTTATCAATTTATGTGTAAATTTGCAAAATGTTTGAGCAAGAAAGAGAAAATTTCGTTAAAGGCGCAGGTTTAAAAATGCTTAAAATTTTTCAATCTAGCATTTTTAGTCACTCGAGCTCCAGGAAAGAGGCAAATAAAGCCAAGTATTGCTTTATTTGAAGCTGAATTTAATAATGGAGTAATTGACGGTGATGATGATGAAGATTTGGACTTTACTGGTAAATTTTGTTTAATTATTAAAAGTATTTATTAAAAAATATTTTAGCTGAAGATCACTCTGGTCATTCCATGTCTGGGGAGTCTAATGGTTCTGAAGAAAGTGAGAGTGCTACAGGATATGAAAGTGGTTCTGAGGAGTCTGAAAGTGGTAAATTGAATGAAGAGGTGAGTGATGAAATTGTATTTAAATTATTAAACTATTGTTTTTAAATAAAAATATTTTAGGATAATATTCCAAGTACTTCATCTGGAAATGTTACAAGTTGTCAAAATAACTGGTTAATTGATAAAAATGAAGTTTGTTTATTTAATTTTAAATTATTTTTTTATAAAAAGAAATCGCCTCAACTTTGTTCAATATGCCTTAATGATAAACAATCTGAAATTTTTGGAGATATAATTCAATGTGACAAGTAAAAATAATTTAAAATATTTTTTATTTTTAAATTTAAGATGTGGATTGTTAGTCCATGAAGTCTGTTATGGAGTTGCTAATGAATTAGCTGAATCCTCTTCTGGTAACAGTCAAAGTTCTTCAACCTCAACAGAACCCTGGTTTTGTGAACCTTGTTTGTTTGGTGATGGAAGTATTCCTTATTGCCAACTTTGTCCAAACAGATTTGGAGCTTTTAAACTTTCTGGTTTTTTTCTAAATAAAAAATAATTATTTTACAAATATTTTCTTAGATATTCCAAATAATTGGGTTCATTTAATTTGTGCTCTTTATACTCCGGGTATTCAATTTGTTGATCAAGAACATTTATCAGGCATTAGTTTGCAAAATATTGATTACCGAAATTTTGGGAGAAAACAATGTGGTGCTTGTATTGATCAATTAGATTCCAGAACTGGAATTACTGTTAAATGTGATGCCGGGCTTTGCAAAAATTTTTATCATGTTACCTGTGCACAAAGGTTTTTTTAAATATTTTTTGGAATTTAAATCTATTTTTTAGATTGGGTTTATTAATTGAGAATCACTTACCTCGAACAACAAACAATCCAGATATTGGATATATTTATTGTAAATTGTTATTTATATGAGTGACTTTATTTTTAATTTTTTAGGTAAACGGCACAATAGCCACGAAGTAATGATAAATGCACAAAAAATTGTGTAAAATATTTAAAAATAAATTTTAAACTTTTATTTAATTTTTTTAGATTTTCAAAATTTATGAAGCAAGAAGATCGTCGAATGGTGGAATTTAGACATATCCAATTAAACCCGCGTCAAGAAAGAAAATGGCAACATCAATTAGAAATTAGATCGAAAAAGAAGAAAGATTTAATTCCAGAATTTACTCATCAGGTTTATTTTAAATTTAAAAAAAATTAAAAGAATTTATTTTTCAAAGAAGAAAGTAAAATTATTACATACAAGTCCACAATATTTAAATGAATTTGCCGAAAAAGCTGAATTGCTTGGAATTAATCGACAACAATTTGAAGAAGAATTTTATAAAGTTCCAGCTTCTCAACTTCCAATGGGATTAACACCTGCATTTTCTGTTGATTTTATAAAGTAAATAATTTTAAAAAAATATTCTTTAAAAATTTTTTAAGCTATATGACATATCGAGATAATGTTGTTTTGAGTGAAGAAGAAAAGTGTATTCCAAAATTACAACATCAAAAAGAACAACTTTTAGAAAATCAAACACAATTAGAAATAAATATTCAAAAAGTTTTTTTTCTAAATTAATTAATTGTAAATATTTATTTAAAGGCAAAAGAAAGACATAATGAATTATGTGAAAGAATTACCTCAAAACACAATTTATTTGAAAAATTAAAATCTGTTCTGCATTCTATTTCGCCTTCATTAATTAAGGAAGAAACAATTAATAGAAGTCAATCTTTATTGGTACATTTATATTTTAAAATTAATTTAAAATTTGTTTTAAAGAATCCAGATAATTGGAATAAAGCAGTGAACAGTATTTCAAGACTGGGTGCAGATTCAACAAATATGTAAAAAATTTATAATTTTTAAACCTAATAACAGGGGGAGATAACCGACAGTACAGATGGCTTTTTAGCCTTCTAAAGTTCTAAAAATTGTGCGCGCGACGCTAAAATGAGGAGTCTTGTTCTGAAATTCTGCATAATGGAGCGATTCCAAAAAACTTAGCTCCGGTTTTGAGTCCAGATTTGAACAGGTTCGGAGCCGGAGCCATAAAACTCCAAGTAAACTGTACTTCCCAAGTTAGAGTTAGACTTACGAAAAGTTTTTCAATACCAAAAGTTTTCAAGATCACTAAGAACTATTACCAATTAATTTTTTATTAAAGATTGTCTTCAATCAAATCACTTCAATCTTCCCCAAAACAATCAGAATCATCTAAAACGTTTGGAGATGTCATTTCAACTACACTTTTTTCTTCAAAATTTGGTTCTTCTTCTAAACAATATAAAAGATTAATTTCTTCCACAACATTACCTTTATCGTCTATTCTAGATGGAAATAATAAAATAAATACAAAAAACGTTAAAAGGTTTTTATATTAAAATTACATTTTTTATTTACAGGGTGACACAAAAAGGATGTCCCACTTTTCAATCCATTATAACTTCTTTTATTCTTTTCATTTTTAAATAATTTTATACTCTTTTTGTAGCCCATTCAATTCTCTATATTATAAAGTAAAATTAAAGATTTTTGATTAAGGATTGGGAAAGTTATGCAATTTTACATATACTATATCAAAATCTGCCCCCCAGAATTTCACTTTCTGTATCTCAACAATGAAAAGCCCAACCGGGATGATCTCAACAGAATTTAATTTAGCTTATTAGCAAGCCTAATGAATCTGAAAGCTGAAAACTCCAACTCTTACATGGATGGCTCTGAGTAGATGTTAGTCAGTTTTGGGGGGAGTGCGATTTCCTCATTTTGGGAGGGTTACGCGCAATCGAATATCTCTTTAAGCGTTAACCCAAAAAAAATTTTGTTTTATAATTTCTATAGGCCAAAGACTGCTCTAAATTCCATAAAAATTTTGTGTAATTCATGCATTCTGTTCTAAAGTTATAGGCAAAATTCCTCAAAAAAAGGTGCGTGCCGGATCGAAATTTTTTCTCACTTGCCTTGAACTTTATCTCAAAGTAGAATGCGGAAAATTCTAAAAATTTTTGATATCTTATTCTTCATTTAGTTCTCTATAATATTATCTTTATTTTATCTCATTATCTTAATTCTGAATAAAGTTATGACTAAAAATAAGTGGGACATCCTTTTTGTGTCACCCTGTATATATTTTTAATTTAAAGACGTGCAACTGATAGTGGTGGGGGAACCTCTTCAAAATTTAAAATAATTTCAATCGAAAAAAAGGAATTATTAATTTGTTTTAAATGCAAATCGGTTAATTAATTTATTTTTTAATTTAATTATTTTTTAGATGAAAGAACCTCATCTTCTTATAAATTGCGAAACTTGTAATTTTTATTATCATATTGGTTGTTTAGACCCACCACTCGAAAAAATGCCTGTTAAAAATAAATTTTCTCGTTTTGAATGTTCTGATTGTGCAGAAAAAAGAATGGAGGCAGAAGTAGCGGCGTTAGAAATGAAAGTGGAGGAAACGTTAGAAAAATGCCCACTCGCTATTGGACGATCTAGAAGAAAGCCTCGGACAAAATTATTTTGAGTTTGGAAAATTATTTGCCAATTTTATAAAATTTTAAACTTTCATTGTTATCTTTCAATTAATTTTAAATGGAATAATTTTACAATTATTATTTTTAATGATGGGGTGATTAAGGAAATTATTTGGGTATTAAATGGAAGATTGAAGAAGGCTTGCTGATTAATTGATAAAGGGCATAATATCTGATTTAGAGTAATCCTTGATCGGTTTTATCTCTCGGAAATTTAAATTTTAATGTCTATTACATATCGTAAACACATACATATAATTGATAATTTTCTTAACTAAATACAACTTATATAAACATATTTAAAATTACATAAAAATTAAACATATCCAATAGGATAAATATAAGTTAACAATTCAGCCCAATAAACATTTCCCAAAGAACGTTCAATTTGATAAATATAAACCCAACAAATTAATAATATTCCCCAAATTAATGTTCCAATTGCTGACAACAAAACATAGCGTTTCATTTCTTTTATTAAATTAATATTTGTTTCTCCAACATTTTCATCAGATTTATATTTTTTACCAAAAGTATATCTAAAATAAAAATATTAAAAATAAAGTTGTAGAAATTACCGATAAAACCAAATAAAATTAACAAGCCACAAAATTGGAAGAAATGCAAATCCTAATAGAAAATAACGACGACAGAGTTGTAATCTTTCCTTTTCATTAAGTTTATTTAAATTTGTAGCCATTCTAATAAAATATACAACTAAATATAATTCATTAACGGATTATAAAATTATAATGTGTGTGATTTTGTCAGAACAAAGTGGGTACGGGACAGAGTTGGGCCCCTCCACAATTTTCCCTTCCCCATCCTTGATAGGGACTATGTGGCGTGGCCCAGTTTGGCGTGATTTGTCTGACACAAGGCAGGAAGTTTATTTAAATTGAGTTGGAACAGTTGGCGGGACTCAGTCGTTGAGTTCTGTCTAAAGTAAAAGTTCGTCGGATATTTAATTAGTGTTTAAGTTTTAAAAGATTTTTTATTTAAATTTAGTTTAAATTTCAATTAATTTACTACATACATACATATAATGTCACAACAACATAATCAATCTAATACAAAAACTTCTCATTCAACTGCAAATGGTGGAGATGTTAGAATTAGAACTAGTAATGGTATCGAGTATATATTTTTTTGAAAAATAATTAGAAAATAATAATTCGAAAGGAATCTGAAAATTAAATCGGACTAGGGATAAAAAAGTTATTTCCGAAACGAGATGGAAAAAGAGCATTAAAAATGAGAATAAATTTCGATTATTTTTGGCCACAATACCCCCAAAATAAATTTATTTTTAAGGGGAAGTTTATATACCGGCAACTCAACGTCCAGATGGGACTTGGCGAAAAGCTAGAAAGGTTAGAGAAGGACATATTCCACAAGATGAACAGCCACGTTTTGAATGTAGAGCTCAATCAGAATTTAATCAAACATCGAAAACAAGTGGAAATTCTGTTAATTATCCAGGTTTTTTCTTGAAAAATCTTGACATTTTTTATTAAAAAAGTTGGTTGGTCCCCTGTTGATATGGTTAAAGAACAAAAAAAGAAAATAATTAAAAACAATAATTTATCATCATCAACTACTTCAACTAAACCAACAATAGCTGTCGACAATCCAAATGCCCCAATTACTCCAAAAGATTTTATTCAAAAACAAATAAATAAATTTCAAAAGAAAATTGAGGAAATTGATAAACTTAAAGTATTTAAATATTTTAATTTAAAAAATATTTTTTTAATTTTAAAGGAAAAAATAGAAAATGGGCAACTTAAAAATCCAGAAAAAAATCAATTAGAAAAAATTTCAAAAAGAAAAGAAATTGAAGAAGAAATTGAAAGTTTAATTGAAAAATTAAATAAAATGTAAATAAATACTTATAATCTTTATTTTTTCTTTAAAAATTATTTTATAAAAAATGAAAAAATATTTTTTTAAATTTTGTTTTTAGTTTTTTCTAAAATATTTGTAATTGCTATAACATTTCTTTCCATTACTTTAGACCAATTTTCAACATCGCCAATTTCCTTAAATATTTTTTTAGGGAATTTATGAAAAAAAATTTTTTGAATTTAATTAATGAAAATGTTTTGTGTAAATGGGGATATATCAGAAGTGGATATGTCTTTGTGTTATTTGACTAGCTTTAGGCGATTCGTATCAGCCCCCCCCCCTCCAGCAAAATTTGTAGTTTTTTGAAATTATTTTAAAAACATTTAAATTTCAAATTAATTTTTAATTACCTAAATTTTGTTATTAACCATTAACTTACTTAAATTATTTTTAAGTAAAATATTCTGCTTTTTAAAATGTATATTTAGTGTATATTTTTTCATAATTTTGCCCATATTTCTAATTTCCCATATTTTATCCATTCTCTCTAAAAAAACCTTTAATGTTTGATTCATTTGTTCAACCAAATCCACCCATTGTTCTGCATATTTAATTAAATTACAACTTTTATTTTCTAATTTTTTACATTCAACATCCAGTCTTTTTTGATTATTATAGGCATAGGAAACTCTTTTAATTAAAATTAATTTATATTTAATTTAAAAAACCTTTTATTTAAATTTTCAACAGTAATTTCTGTTAATTGATGGGCAGCAACAATTGCCTCATTTTTACGTTTTTCTTTAAAAAATAATTATTTTTTAAATTTAATTATTTAAAATTGCCTTGCATTTCCTTTGAAATATTTTGTTTTATATTATGTTCTTTTATCATATTTGATAATATATTATTGTTACGTCTTTCCATTTTTAACAATTAAAATTAATTTAAAATATTTATTGATAAAAATAATTTAAAAAAAAAGTTTTTTTTATTTTGGAGATTAAAAATAAAGAAATACTAGGGTGAATTGTATTGGGTCCAACCCAGGAGTTCAACACCAAAAATGGGGATAAATTTTTCTCTCAACGAAACGAAACGTAAAAATACATTTCATCTTTATGAAACGAAAAAATGACAATTTTCACGGCATCAAACATTTGATTTAATTCAGCCTCAAAACATCTGATATCCCCTTTGATCACTCCAAATTACCTAATATCCCGATTTAGGAATTAAAAAAGATATCTGATGATTTAGAGGGAGACTAAAACCCTCTAAATCTCTCCCCTCTAAAAACCCCTCTAAAAACTAAAACTTGGATGACAGAAAATCAAAAAAAATGTGAGTTTACGAAACGAAAACGAACGAAAATACTTCTTCAACGAAACGAAAGAAAGAAGGATTTTCTTCGTTTCCCTTTTGCCTTATCTGGCAATTGCACGAGAGAAGTTCCGTTTTCTGTCCTTTAATCCTCCTTAATCCCAATAAGCCTCCGAAGTAGTCGGTAAAGACGTCGCTCAGTTGCTGACGGAAAACATCACATTCGATGTCATGATTCTCGTATGGAACACATTGAGAAAAAAATTTATTAAAAATTTTACCTTTGCCAAACTTAAGAGTTTGGAATTTTTAAAGAAAAAATTTCTGGGATCTTAAGATGAAGTGAGTAACCAACAAAATTTAATGTGTATTTATTTACATACAAATAAAATTTTATTTAATCGAAATATTTTTTAATTTATAAAATTTATTTTGAATTATAAAGCCACCGATTGAGGTAAAATCACCCTCTGAATAAAGTTTCCCTTTTGAAGGAAAACTTCACTCCAATCCCCCACTGTTTTTAAAATTTACGGTAATTAAATATTTTAAATTAAAAATAGAGAGAAATTTATATATGTATATATTTATTATTTTTAATATAATCCACATCCTTTTAGTTTTGAACTTAAAATAACATCAAGTGTAGAATCGAGAACAAATTGGACCTAAAAAATATTTTTTATCTTTTTCCCTTTTAATTTTTACTTGTTTTGTGTCTGTTGCACAAGTATGGTGGCAATAAATTGATTTATTAGGGACTTCATTTGCCATAAAAAATTTCTTTTCGATATATCTAGAGCTTGATTCGTAATTATCTGGACCTAAAAAGAGGAGTTTTTCTTTTGTCTTTTAATCCCCCCCCCCCCCAAAAAAAATATTTATTTTAAATTAATTTTTTACCATTAAATTCTTTAAAAGCAATCCTTAAAGAACGTCCTTGCCCCATTTTTTCAGCAAATAAATCTTTTTTATTTAAAAAAAGAATTATCTAGAAAATTATTTTTTTATTTCTTATTTTTAATTAAAAACTTACAGAAGTTTCAATAAAATATTTATTATTACAAACTTGCTTAAATAATTGTAAGGATTCTTGTAAACGATTCTTTAAAAAAATATTTTTTTAATTAAAAAACAAATATACAAACAGTAGTTCCATCTTCCATTAAAACTTGATCAAATTCACTCATTGCCGTTACAAAAATTAAAGCTCTAACATCATCAAAACAATGTATCCACTTTTTCCTTTGTGAACGTTGCCCCCCAACATCAAATACTCTTTTTTATTTTATTTTCAATTAATTAATTTCAAAATTAATACCTCCAAATTTTTTCTTTAATTTGAAATCTAACTTCAATTACCCCCATTGTAGCTACTCTAAGGAAAAGAATATCCTTTAAAAAATATTTTCTTTTTATTTTCTTTTAAAGACTACACAAACTTGTGTTGTCGGGATATAATTTTGATCATTAATTCTGTCAAGGGAATCCAAAAAACTTTTTAAAAATAAATTTAAAAATAAAAATATCAAAATTAATATTTAATTAATTTACTGTTGAGCACAATCTGGAACATAAAATTCTGATTTTCTACTCATTGCAGACTTTAATTAAAAGATAATTATTATTATTTTTAAAAATTAATTTATACTTGGACTCCTTTATCTGTCCATAATTCTTTTAAAGCAACATAAATATGTTCTCTCATTGGCTTTAAAGAATAATTAGAATTTAATTTAATTAATTAGTTACTTCAGTTTCTGCATGTTTAGCCATTATTGCATGTATTAATCGGCAATGTTCCTTTTTTTAATAATTTAAATAGTATATAAATTTTTTTTTTAAATTTACTTGTGATGATTGGGAAGCAAAAGCTAATTTAAGTTTATGCATTCCACTAAAAATTAAAATATACTGTGTATATATCAAATAATTACCCCTCCATCGAGGAGTTTAAACAATAATTACTCAGGTTATAGGGTCAACCCTGAAGAGCTAAAAACTTGATCGAATGATTTATACTTTTTATTTCTTTAAAACTTTAATTATTAAAACTTTAATTCAAAGCCAGCAATACCCCCCTTAATCCCTCCAGATCCCCATTAAACTAAGAAATAAAAGGTAAAAAATGGTGTCGATCACAAGTTTGTATATCCTCAGAGGTCTAGAGGATGTACGTCTTCAGAGGTAGATTGAGAGCAATTATTAAAGAATATATGTGTATATTTTTTAAATTTTTAAAAATAATAATAATTACCTTAAAATAAAAAACATTGCCTATAAAAAATTATTTTTTCTTTTTAAAAAAAAATTCTTTCAAAAATTACTTGAATAACATTTCCATAAACTAAATTTCTTTTAGACAACAAATCATTATCAGAAAATCCATTATCATGAATTATTTTTAATTGTTTTAATACTGTACTCTTTCCACTTTCCCCTGCACCAAGTAAAAGTAATTTAATTGTGGATTCATTATTTCTTCTATCAATATCAATTTGTCTTTGAATTTGGAAATTAACATCACTTTGACTTTAAAAAAATAATTTTAAAATTAAAAAAAAATTTTTAATTTACTTTTTATCATCTTGTGTTGTTGTATTACAATTTCCCATTTTTAATATTTTTTTCATGAGAAGAATTAAAATTGCTACTCAATGAGAGAAGCAAAAATGAGAGAAATAAATATTTAAAAATAAAATAATTAAAAGAATAAAGAGAATTAAATATTTATAATTTGTCAGATTTTGCTTTAATTTATGCCCACAGGTCTAGAAAATATAATAACTAAAATAGTAGTAAATTTTAAATTGGATACGGATAATATCTGCATATCCGTGGATATATCCGGATACGGACAGAAATGGATAATATTTTTAAAAATAGGACTGATACGGTTGATAATCCAAATCCGCGGATTTTGATATGTAATTAAATTTTAATTTTAACTTTTTTTAGTCGAATCTCGATAAAACACGAAGGTCTGGCAAATTAGCTACATGTTTTGTAATAAAAATTAAAATTATTTTAATTAATCTTAAATTTTTTTTGGAAAATTTTTATTAAATTTGGAAAATGTTACCAAAACAACAAAATGTGCAGTAAATCTGTCTCTCACATTTTATAATTAAAAAATGTTAATTAAAAGAATATAAAATAAACAAATTTGACTTAATGTAAATATAAAAGAAAATTAAATACCTAATTTTTGTATTATGTTAATTTGAAAAATTTTTGGAAGATTTTTTAAATTTACACACAAAGTTAATATTTTCTTGTAAAAAAAGAATTACCTGTATTTACTTACTTTATATTAAATTACCTTTACGTGAATGGCACCAATTTATTTATTCATTTTTGGATTTTAACATTGTCTCCTTGACAACTTTTAATTATTTATATGCAGCTGTATTTTAAGTAACACGATATTAATTGTGTTGGCATATAAAAAATAATTGAAAGTTTTAGATAATTATTTTAAACAAATGGGCAACTGTTTTGAAGGGGTAAATGGTAATTATTACCGTTTCCTCTCTAATAAAATAATCTCTTTACTTGAATTATGTTCAGAGCGAGACTAACTTTACAAAACTTTTTTCGACATTATCAATATCAAAATTTGAAAAACCATTTTCCGAACATTAATTTAAATAACCCCCCCCATTTAATGAATGATGTACTTTTGATTTTTATTAAATTTTATTTAAAAAATCTTAATTTGCTCAACATTGTCAACAACAATTATTAGAAATAGGAAATTTTAAATAAAAAATAAAAATACATACATAAATTTATTTATTAATTTTAATCTTTTTTTAATTTTCTCTCCCAAAATTATCCTTTTGCTTACCTCATAATAATTTATTTTTTTATTTCATTTAATAATAAACAAAACTATTAAAACAAAAAGGAAATTCGTAAAATAATTTTCAAACAAAAAATATTAATAAAAATTTAGGAAAGAATACAATAGAATAATAAGTAATTTTGCCCTAATGAAAACAATAAAAAACAAAAGATTCAAAAGTATAAAAGTATAAAAAAATATATTTAATAATTAATTAATATAAATAAAATGGGCAATTTGGCAAAGTAAGGCATTTTAATTTAAATAAATTGAATGATTATATATTTAAATATTAGCATGTAATTTCCAAAAATAAATTTTTAAAAGAAAATTTTGCGTGTAAAAAAGTTAAAAAAATCTTTTCAAAAAAGTATTTTGCAAATTTTAATTCAAAAATTCCAAAATGCAAAAAATACTTTTCCTTTCTTTTATATAATTCTATTTTTAACATTTACAAAAAATTTATTTACAAAAATCCACTACTCCAACGAAGTAAATTGCTACGTTTTTGTTTATTAAGTTTTTTAATTTCAGCAGGGTGTTGATTTGAATTATTAGAAATTGTTGAAGATAAATTTGGAGTATTTATATAATTAGTTTTTGATATTTTCTTTCTTAAAATACAATTAGTCATTGGGGATAAAGGATCTGGAGCTACGGCATAAAAAGGATTGCATTTTTCAGGGAAGACTAATTCACCTTTAAAAAATAAAAAAATATATAGAGTGAGCGCCGAACAAAAATTTTTTTCATGTTCTCTCAATTACGGAAATACCGAGAGAACACAAAAACAAAAACCTCAAATGAAAAAATTAATAACAACTTGTAGCAGTTAAAACACCCCAAACCATTTACAAATTAAGGAATGAAATTTCGAAAATAATTCCCTACAAAATTTATTTCCAAATAATTTACCTCCATCTGGAAGTAATTGAACCAAGCAATAGTCTAAAGCTTCTTCTGGATCTATCAAATGTTTTTCAAGAGCTCTTCTAACAACTTGTATCATTTTATCTCCATTTATAACTTTTATACACTAAAAAATTAAAATAAAAATAATTTTAAATTAATTTTTACTTTATAATTAGTATTTGTTGTTGTTTCTAATTCATTTTGTAAAGAATCATCTAATCCTACACGAACTAAATGAAAATTTTGTTCTTCTCTTGGACAATTACTAACAGACATAGATGATGGGGAAATACCTCCAAAATAATTATTTTGTTGTTGTTGAATTAACATTCCTAATGATGAACGAGAAGAGGAAGAACTTGTTGTAGATTTCTTAAATTAATTTTTTTGTTTTTTTCTTTTAATTAAATTGAAAAAATTAATTTTTTGAGAAGACAAATTATTTTCTTGAATTAAAATATTTTTTTATTTTTTAGTTCCACACATTTATAACCAAAATTTAAATTAATCCCTCCCTCCTTTTCTCCTTAAAAATTAATTTTAATAAGAACCTGAAAATGTTTTTTTCGTTCCAAAACTTCTTTTAAATAATCATTTTCTTCTTTTATAATATTTTGATTTGTTGTAGGAAATCTATTAAATTTCCCATTACTACTGCTTGTAGTAGGTTCTGTTGAAATTGGGCTTGGAGTACAAAGAGAAGAGGATGCAAAAGAGGTAGAAGTTGAAGGTAACATTGAAGGGGATTTTTTGTGAGCCTTTTGAAAATATATTTTAAAAAATTTAGTTTGTTTTTAATTATGAAATTTAAAAGAGAATTTATAATAAAAATTAATGGAATTCTTGAGTTAATCCTCTAAAATTAGAGAAAAAACTAACCACAAAATTCGGAGCAATTTCTTTCCCTAACATAATTTCTTTTGAACAAGAACCTTTAAAGAAAATATTTTTTTAATTTATTTTTAAAATTTTACTTGAAAATCTTTCCTCTCTAAATTCATTTTCTTCATTTCTTTTCTCAGATAATTTTTGTGTTAAATAACCATTAATATTATTTTCTATTGTTTTATATCTACAATCTTTTTTTGAACCTTGACTTCGACTTCTTAATTGACTTTTTGGAGGTTTTTCTAATAATTTACCAGAAGGGGGATAATTACTTTCATTTGAATAATTATATTTTTCTGTAAAATATTTAATTAAAAAATATATTTAATTAATTTACCTAAAGTTTTCATTTTTTGTCGTTGTTCAACAAATGAAGAATTTCCAAGTTGAAGATTTAATTCTTTAGGAGAAGAATTTAAACCAGAAAATATTTTACTCAAAGAATTAATTTTCCCCATTTGAGGGATAAAAGCGTCGCGAGTTTTCCTCCTTGCAGTTTCTGGTGTCATTTGTTGTTCATTTGTATAAGGCTCAATGTCGAGTGAACGAACAAAACTAAAAAGTTTTTTTGAGAAAAATAGAGGAAAGAAGAAAAAGAAAATGAAATCAGATAACGGAAAATAACTAAACTAATTTAATCAAATAAATTATTTTTACCATTCTTTTTCATCTAAAGCAGGCAAAAAATGAAACCAAACACAAAATGCTTGATCCATAGAAAATGAATAAGCTCTAGCAGCTGATTGGTAAAGTCTTAATTTTGCCAAAACTTCAAATTCAAATCTGTGTTTCTCAAAATTTATAAGTCCATTATCTGTTTTGTCAGGATGAGCCTAGAAAATTAAACAAATATCTGCTTAATAGATTTAAAAAAACCTGGTCAATCATTGCAAGTTCTGTCAAAAAAGTACCCAAATAGGGGCAAATTCCTTGTGTTGTTTCAAACGACATATTTAAATCGCTTTTTGTTCGTCTAGGGGGCTTTTTTGGTGTTAAATTATCTAATAAAGAATTGTCATTTTGATATTCTGAAAAATCTTCCGCCTCTATATTTGATTCAAAAATTGATGATAATTCATTTAATTGAGATAAGGAATTTCTGAAAGAAAAGGAAAAATAATTTTAAATTAAAAAAAAGTCTTTTACTTTGAAACTAATGACCAAACATTTTTAAGTCGAAATACTGGCTGTGATTGCAAACTTGAAAGAACAGCTTTGAGTGAAGACAAATTATTTAAAGAATGTAATTCCTTAAAAATTAAATATTTTTTTTTAAATTATTTTAAAAAATACTTTTGCAATATTAATCCATTTTTCAATTATTTGTGCTCTAAATTCTGTTTTACAATCAGGCAAAACAATGCTAGTCATTACTCTTTGACAAAGAGAATTAAATTGGTCTATAGTTGCCCGAACACTATATACATAATCAGAATTTAATTTATGTCGTTTTCCCCAAATTGATCCCTTTAAATTTTTTTTAAAATTATTTTTTTATTAAAAAAATATTTTTTTACCAAACATTGATAAATCTTTAATTGTTTAAAAAGTAAAGCATCCCAAAATGTTAATTGCTCAGCAATTTGCAAAGAATTATCACAAGCAACATCAAACATTTGTGCTCTAGATTGACTTTCAGCAAGGGCTTTAGCATAACGAAAATGTTCTTTTTCGTCAAAAATATTTTTAGATTTAAAATTATTTGAAGAAATTGGTGAAGAAATTGTTATTGGAGGTTCGTGGCCAGTTAAAGAAAAACTGACACGAGCAATTGAAGGAATTTGTGCTAAAAAATAATTGGCAATATTCTAAATATTTTTTTCATTTTTTCCTTCCTTTCTGATAAAATAAATTAATTTACTTGTTTAAAAAACTAAAGGAGTTTCTGACTTTGAAAATTATTTCTGGATTGTTAGTAATACTTTATTTTTCAATTTAGGCCCTATAGCTTGTTGGCTTCAAATAACCCAACATGAAAATAAAATCACGAATTTGATAAAGACCTAAATCAAGGGACAGACACGCTCTTTACTTTTTCGTTCTTGTCAAAGTAAATGAAGTAACCTATTCTATTTCTACAAGGAAGATATTCAAAAATATTCAGATAGTGCCAAATAATTTATAAAAATTTTTTTTATTAAATTTACCACAAAGTCCCATTTCTCCCAAAACATTCTTAAAATATTCTCTCAATTTTCTTGCTTTACTTTTAATATCATTTAATCCATTTGATTTACTAAATAATATAATTTTCTCAATTAGAATAAATTCATTTTTATCTTTCTCTAAAGAATTTTTGGAATTAATAACATAAAAATCATCAGAATACATATCTAACCAACAAACAATAATTGATTTTAATGTACTAAATTTTAAGAAAAAAATTATTTGAAAGAAAAATTTAAAAAAAACCTTTTCATCATTTTTAGACGTTCTGTTGATTTTTTAGAAGAATCTAACAATAATTCATTTGAAAGACAAGAATACCATTCAATAATTAAATCTAACACTTCCTCAGTTTTTGCAAAAGATCGGTATGTTGTAAAGAAAATATTAAACTAAAAAAATATTTTGTAATTTAATTGAAAATTATTTTAATGATAATCTTTTAAGTAGAATTATTCACAATTTAAATTTTATTAACCTGTCTTGAATCCAATTTTCCTTCAGAATCAAGCAAAGATTCCTGCAAAATAATTAAAAATAATTCAGTACAACTTCCCAGTTTTTAATACTTAAAAAACTTACAACAATTCTCTTTAAACTTCCAGCCTTTACAACTTTTTCCCTTATCGTTTCCCATTGTAAATGATCTTGTGTTGAATCTGTGTCACGAAACTGTAAAAATAATTTAAGATTATAGAGAAAATAAATTTATACCGAAATTCCTTCATCATTAATTGGAGAAACATAACGAACTTTTTTCAAATAAACAGAATAAATTGCATCAGGATATTCTTCTTCGCCCCAATATTTTGATGATCCCGTCATATATACATAAATTTAATTTAATAATATGTCTGCCAAATTCTTAGAGGTGATGATTCTCTCGAATTTTCATTTAGCTATTCTATTCTAAAGCACTGAAAAGTGACACTAAAAAATACTTTATAATACATATACGCATGTAGAGTCAATCACGGCAAATGGTTGATTTTTTAAAGGAAATACTAAAATTAAAAAATGTGCAAATTTCTGATCTTATCCCGGCAACTCAAAAATGCCGAGGAAAAAGTCTGGGGAACGGAACCGTGCTCCATTGAGAAAAAGTTAAGTTAAAGTGCAAAGCAAAGTTAAAAATATTTAAGAGTTAAGTATTTAAGAGTTTAAGTCTAAAATTTCTCCATTATGGACAAATTGTGAATTTTTTTCTCTATTATAATAACATTCCTCCATTAACCACCTTAAAAAGGTTCAAAATGGTCAGACTAATAGCAGAAAATAAAATTTAATAATTCTTATAAAAAGAGAAACACAAACTATACTTCTACATACCGTCTCTTTCTCCGAACTCGGCTCCTGAAACGATTCAAGACTTCTAGCTACAGTTTTATTATATTGAGACATTTTTATGATTTTTTATTACAAAATATAATATCAAAATTCACTCAACAATTTCAAAACGAAAATAAAATATATCCCACGAAAATATTTGTCAACTAATCACATTTGGTCTTTACGTCCAGCTGAAACAAATATTCTGTTGTTTGCCAATCCTTTTTTAAGTTGATATTTCTGAACTACTCGATTAGTAATTCGATTGGTATCCTTTGCCAGTTTAACAGCCAAAAGGCCTTAATTAATAGAATAAATAGTGTTATGCAAATGGATTTTTCCAATACCAATAACAGTAGTACCGAAAAGTACTGGTATTGAAAAGTCAGGCGATTTGAAGGATATCACGATGGACCAATGATTAAGGAGGATATAGGGGATATATTAAGGAGGATATAGGGGATTTGGATTAGAAGATGTAAGAGGATTTGGAGGAAGTATGTGAAAAATGTAAGAAAATTTTTAATGCCTAAATATTTGCAACCCACCCTCAATCTCCTGGTATCTCAATTTAAATATATAAACAAACTTGTTGGTTGATTTAAACCGATTTGTTTTAATGAAAAATTGGCATGAGCTCGATTTGTTGAAGTTTTGATTCCAACATTATTCGGCCTCAAAGATTGTTTGAAATAGCGCATTAAAGACCTGTGGCCAATAGACGAACCTCAAATTTAATTTTTAGTTAAATATTTTTATTTCAAAAAATTACCAGTTGGAATAGTAATAAAAGAAGCATCATCATCAGCTGAACAACTCTCAAAAACTTCCTTCATTACATTAACCAGCGTTGACATATCATCACTTTCATCAACACTATAATCATAAAAATCCACAAATTCAACAAATTCTGTATCATCGATCCGAAAATTGCAGTGATTTTTGTCACGCATATGCTTCTGAACTGCATCTAGATCTCGAAAACGATAACTGTTACAGCGAATACAAGTTTTTCCAGCACCGATTTTTAAACCTAATTTTATTTAAAAAAAATTAAAATTTTAAACAAATTACCCAAATATTTAATTAATCCCAAGACATCCGAACAATAATCAAAATCAGGAATTAGAAATCCATGTTCCTTTGACATATGTTGCATACATAAATCAAAGTCACTTAAGGATGAAGAACAAAATAAACAATCGCCAATTGGAATTCCCTAAAAATTAAAAAATAAATAAAAAAATATTCAAAATATTAACATTATTTTCATTAAGATCATCATCTTCTTTTTGTAAATTTTTATTTTCTTCAATATTTTTATGAGGAGAAACGTCATATTCCATAGACTTTTGTTCCTCAATAACATTGTTATCAAACTTTAAAATATTTTCTTTATGTTTTTTTGAATTAAAATGATTTTCAAGTGCTTTTGAAGATTGAAATTTTTTGTGGCAATGAGAACAAAAAATCTCTTTATGAGAAGATTTAAACTTTTCGCAGTCCTTAAAACGTTCATTATTTTAATTCTGTAATATAAATTAAAACCTGAGCAACTTGAAGTGATTTCTCCAAAAATGTTGTTTCACTAATCGGAGCAAGATTTGCGACCTGAAGTTTAAAATTTTTATTTTATAAAATTGATTGGTAATATTTGTAAATAGAATTTTTTTTTAGATTTTTCAAAAGATTTTAAATTATCATCCAGTAACCCTGACTAGAAACCATCAAAACTCACATGTCTTTTAAGATTATATCTATGCCAATCACTTGTATAATGTTGTTTCTGAATTATAGCATCTGCAAAAACCAATCTGCAGGCTAAACAAGTCAAACCCGTTCCTGATCTAAAATAACCATCAATTTCTGCCATAACTGACTTAAAATATAGTTAATACAAATTTTAAATTATTTAAGTATCAATGAACGAGTAATACGTAATTATATTTGTAGACTGAATAATTAAAGAGAAAATTTATTATAGCCAACAAATATCAACATTAATCAGAATGGTGGTTTTAACTGTCGAAATTTTCATATTTTCTTGATTTGGTTTTTTCTCTTTGGGGGTTTCCTCAAACAAACACTCTATTTTTTAATATACAAAAATGTTTCAACAAGGAATCTTTATTAAAATAATTTTTTCAAATACCAAAATCAAGAAATATATTTTAAATGATTAAGAAATAGATAACAAAAATGATAGCAAAGCTAAAATGGAAAAAAAATTTTTGGTTAAAAAAGAACTTTTCTCACTCTAATCCATTATTTCAGTTTTTGGACGTTTCTCTGGTGGCTCTTCCTCTTTCAAATGTTTTTGATCAACCAATTGTTGAGGTAAAGTTCTAAATTTAATAATTTATTTTACAATAACAACCCAAATTTTGAATTACTCTTTAAACAAAGGAACTCGTTTTCCGTGAAAAATTGTCATTTGAGGAGGCGTATCAAATGTTTTCTCCAGTGCTAAATGTTTTTCAATGTGTTGATGTAACCTGCAATTTTTAAAAATTAAAGAGGAAAAAATTATTCATACCGAGAAATATCGCCACTCATTTCCTCTAAAAATTCCATTTTTCGAAGTGAAAATTGATAACGTTCTTCTAAGCCAAGATCCTTACTGTCAACAGCCGTATCAAATGCCGCTATTATTTCACTGTCTCTAGAATGAGATGAACTGTAAGCAAGATCCACAAGTTGTAGATAAAGCTGCACATTATCCTAGAATTTTGAAAAATAAAATGTATAAATATTCGGAATACAAAATTAATAAAATGTAAAATATTAAGTACTAGAGTCACGGAAAAATAATATGCAAAGTGCTTAAAATTAATTAGTACTAATTCTTGTTTCCTAATAATTTTGCCCTGGTTTTTTGCACTTACATCATATTAAGTTAATGTATTCCGAGCTTAAATACCTTATCTTTAGAAATAGCCTCTTTCAAGACTTTTTTAGCCAACTTTCTATCATGACGAAATCTGGTATGAAAACGCGCCAATTTTAATGCCCAAAATGAAGCAACTTTTTTCGAAGGAGAATCTTGAATTAAACGCTCATATTTAGCAACCAATGATGAATAATCAGGATTTCTTAAAAATGTTATTAATTAGAAAATATACTATAGATAATGGAGAAAATATGAACAATCGATTGGATACTTTTAAAGTTACAATTCCCCAAGAAAACCATAAATACCCGTTTTTGTTGGCTTTACGGCGTTCAATTGAAATGAGTCGTAGATGTATTGAAATGTAATCAGGATGACGCCGATCAAATTCCTGAAGTTTTGAAAGAAATTTTAATACACATATCTCTTCCGAAGAAAGTTAAAATTACCGTCAATATAGCCTCAGAAGTTTCAATATCACCCAACTTTTCTTCAAAAGCGCTATAAGCCAAATGAATTCCAGGTTTTCTAGGGCAATGGATTCCTTAAAATTCTTATAAAAAATTTTCTAATAAATCAAACCAGTTGCCCGTTTATAAATGGCACGAGCGGATGCCAAATCGTCAAGCTGCTCCAAGTAGTTAGCATACTAAATATTAATTTATGAAATGTCTAGCTAAAAAGCCACCTTAATCCACATCTCTTCATAATTTGCACAAGCAATCATGCAACGTTCAAAAAGAAATAGAATGCGAGTCTTTTTGCCTGTTCTAATTTCAAAATCTAAATAAGAATACCAATTACGCAATTGATCACGCTCCAATGGTTTAACATGGAAATATGGTCTCTTTATCTGAAAGTACTTATATTTAAAAATAAAAAATTACACATACAGCATTTTCATAGACCCAACGAATACTGACCTCCCGTTCATTCTCCAAATATAACTGGTGTTTACGATTTATAATCTCCTCACGGAAAGCTTTTAAAGCATGCTCATTGTGCTAAATTTATTAATTTGAAAATCAATTTAAAAAATAATAACCTTCCTGCGTCGCACTGTCTTCGGCTGAACTTCTTCAATGTTTTCTCCATCTATTGGAATACTATCATCTTCATATTCTTCCATAAAAAAGAGAGGTTCTCCATCTAGAGAGTCCTTGATTTTTGGATAAATCAGATCAGTAATGGCATTGTACTCTTCCGAAGTAAGTATTCTATCAGGCTCTTGACTATTTACAAACTGTTTGAACCTAAACGCTAATATAAAAATTAATTAAAATTTGTTAAACTTTTCAAAGTGACTCGCAAACAAAGCTATAGGAGTTGAAATAAGAACATCAAAAAGAATCATCGCCTTGTCGAATTCACCATTGCTAATCTCCCAATCGATAAACTCAACCCACAGCTTATCTGAACGGAACTCCAAACCGCAAGCCTCCAACGCCCGTGTATATACGCTAAAAATAATGTTGAAAATTTTTAAATTAGGAAAACAGAAATATAAAATAAAGAATGAAGTTTTCTACTTATATCAATCTCTTCTGAATAATATAAATCTTTCTAAAATCACTTAAATTTCTTTTCTTGTTTTACATCGTCTCTTCGTTTGTAAAGTGATTTTTAAAATAAATAAACATCAGAAAAGCATCAGAAACAAAAATGACGCCGAATGTTAAGTAAAATTCTCAAATTTAAAGGAAAAATCACGCTAACAAGTAAACACCACACAATCTTTCAATTCCTTATATTAAAAACAAAAAAAGGAATTTATTCTGGGACTAAAATACTCACTATAAATAATCACTATTTACAATAAAAGAAATGTATAAAGCCCGAGATCGCTGGGGAAATTATCAAATTATCGTGTTTTCAAAATTTTCTATTATTCTTTCATTCCAAACCCGCCCTTCGGGAGGCAAAATTTCACGAAAGATGAAAAATGAGCAAGTGCTTCATCTCTGAAAGTGCTATTTGAGAAAAACATTCTTATTTTAGGAAAGCAAATTTTGAGATTAAAAATCTAAATACTTACTCTCTAATCTTTGCAGTAGCTTGCCTTTGTCCTTGAGCTATCTCCTTCACGTAAGCAATATATGAAAGCCAAAGATCGACGCTCAATGGAATTGCTTCGAGTCCACGTTCATATACCTGAAAAGAGCAATATAGTAATTAGTCAATAAGCGCACAAAACTTTACCGTCAAGCATTTTTCATAATGTTTGTTGTTGCGCTCAAAATCGGCATATTTCTTCCAATAACCATAACAGTACGGGTAGCGTCGAAGAAATCCATCATAAGCATCGCGAGATGCCTTCTCATCATTCTAAAAAGCAAATATTAGATGTATAAAAATAATAAAATCCAAAACATACGACTTTCTCCACTATCTTTAAAAGCCTTGTCCAAGCATCGAAATCGTATTGATTGTCCTCAACAGCTCTTAAAGCATCTTTCATCATCAATCGTTCCAAAGAATCACTGAAAGATAAAAAATGTATCTAAGTTCAGAAATATATCATCTAACCCGCCAAGAGCATCATGATTCAAATCAACATTCTGACTTATGTTACGATAAGCTGGCTGACCATTCATATCGATAAAATAAACTAAAATACAAAAAATAATGAAAATTTAAAGAAAAATCAGGTAGAATCTGATTGAGATATAATAATCGATAACTGTTAGAAATAATCGATGACCACATAAACGGGACACGCCCGAGTAGGCGCGGGCCAAGTAGGCGCGACCGAGTAGGCGCGACCGAGTAGGCGCAGGCCAAGTAGGCGCAAGGCCAAGTAGGCGCACGGCCCAAGTAGGCGCAAATCTTTTAGCTTAAAATATTCAAATTAAAAAATAAGTCAGTATAAATATTTTTATGTTAATGAGTTAGAAGAAAGATTCTTGATAAAAATTAGAAGAAAGGTACCTATTTTAGAAGAAAGACACCTTAAATATCGATACCCTGTTAGTATATGTTCGTACTGTATGCATTAACTAGGCAGTTCAAAAGTGTATATTTATTTTTTAATCCATTAAAAGCTTTTAATCATCAAAAGACTCCTAACTGTAGCTGGACTTTTTTGTGAAACGCCTTGATAGTCGTATCTTGATTGTTAATTGTACCTTTGTATATACTTCATGTTCCCTTAAACTGGTTAGTTCCTAAAGGCTAACTAGTTAGTCCCCCTTAAACTAGTTGAACTAGTTAGAGTATTCATAACATTGGTAAGCCACAGGAATTATCAAAGCAGCATGGCTCTCACTAATTAACAAACTTAGCAAATAATCCAAAACTTATCAGCAGCTAAGTATGGAGCTTTTATGAGAAAAATATTAAAAGAATTTTTTTAAATTTTATCAAAAAATAAAAACATCAACGAGCTTCACTTAATAAATTTTTTCCCTAAGAAGGGCAGTTTTAGAAAAAGTCCAGTGTCCACATAAAGTTGCTTGATTATTCAGCCAACTAATTAACAAAATTAGTTGAAGATTAATAAAAAAAATTTTGGGTAAAAATTAAGAAATTTACCCTTGCGCCTACTTGGGCCGTGCGCCTACTTGGCCTTGCGCCTACTTGGCCTGCGCCTACTCGGTCGCGCCTACTCGGTCGCGCCTACTTGGCCCGCGCCTACTTGGGCTGTACCCCACATAAACGGCCTTATTTTTTCGTTTTGAGTTTTTTCTACTTGTTTATAGTTATGTTCATAGAAATTTTTGTTAAATTTTAGCTGCCTTCTTTCCGTGATTATCGGTATTCTTACAAACTTTTTGAGGATATTTGGAACGCATGATTTTTTAAAAATTTATTAGATTTTTGATAAAATTATCGGTTTGCAAAAATACAAGGGGATTCAATCATGGGGACCCAATTGAACTTTAAAAAGAAAAAGTTAGAAAAAATAAAATTGGCACAGAAACGTCCGTTTTACAGCGGGCTCGAAGGGACACGCCCAGGTAGGCGCGCGGCCGCGTTTGCGCAAAGCCATAATTACCTTGAAAATTTCTGATCCTTATCAATATCAATCTCTTTAGCTCGTTGAGAGAAATCGTTTAATACTAAAATTGTTAAGATTCCGAAATCTTGAAGCAAGTTATGGCTTTGCGCCTACTTGGCCGCGCGCCTACTTAGCTGTGCCCGGGCTCGAAATCGGCCGGCACGGAACTGGTTTGGCACGGAATTGTCCCAGTCCGCAATTTCTCTCTTAAAGTAAAACGCTATTTTTCAACCCCCTCCGTAAGAGAGTTCTTTTAGAGAAAGAAAAAAGAGGAAATAGTAAGCAGGTAATTTTCGCGCGTGCGTAAACGTTGTAGACCCGCTGTGTTTGTTCTTTACAAAATTATCTTTTGGCGTGTGTTTTATTTTCCAGTGCATATTATGTAGTATGTAGTGTTGTGGGTATTAGTTTTTTTTTTTAAATTTCTTCAAAAAATTTTAATTACATAATACTTTTACTATCTTATTTTAAACTTTAGATTTTAAAATTATTTAAAATTAATTATTTTAAACTTTTTAGACAGATTCTTTGTTATTAATTAGCAAAATGCCTGGAGGAAAAGGAAAAGCAGGAAAAGATAGTGGAAAAGCAAAATCTAAGGTATGTTTAATAAAATGTTTTTTTTTCTTCTGATCCATGAAATTAGACTAGCATTTTTCTGAAGTAGTTATGAGTCTTTTTATGGATCAATAAAATAGACATCGTTAATCCGGTAATCCTTAAGATCATTGGAGCAAAAAATGCTCTTCCGTCTTTTTGAGGCCTGCGATTGACCCTTAAATTTTAATTTCGATTTTTACCCCGAATTCGGCTTTGTCGAATTCGGGTCCGGGATTCTAAATAAGCGAATTACAAGCTCAGCTTCGGACTCAGCACACTTAATTGCCTACACGCAGGCCTCAAAAATATCGGAAGAGCATTTTTCTCGGGACCAATGATCCTAGGGATTACCGAAACAGCAAATCTGTCGTCGTTTTACAAAAAATTTTCAGAAAGTTATTTCGAGGAGTGCTAGAGCTGGCTTGCAGTTTCCTGTTGGCCGTATTCATCGTTTCCTTAAGAAAAGAACAACAAGCACTGGGCGTGTTGGCGCTACTGCTGCTGTATATAGTGCCGCTATACTGGAATATTTAACAGCTGAAGTTCTTGAGTTGGCTGGAAATGCATCTAAAGATCTTAAAGTGAAGCGCGTTACGCCTAGACATCTTCACCTTGCAATTCGAGGTGATGAGGAGGTATATATTTATAAACTAAATTAGATTTTATCCTGGTTTATTCTATGAATTTCACTATTTCTCTATTACTAGTTTGTTTTTGGCATTCAATCATTATTGGTGGACAACCCAGTCTTGCCAAGCTACATGAAAATCTATAAAATCCACTATTGTAGGGTAGATCTGTTATTATTCTTATTCAAACCCTTTTCGATTTTTGCATGTTTATTTTAATTTTTATTACTCGTTTCTTTTTAAGCTTGATTCGCTTATCAAAGCAACCATTGCTGGTGGGGGAGTTATTCCGCACATTCATCGCTACCTCATGAACAAGGTAAATTGCCAGATTATTCATTCATATATTATTAAATTCTAGAAGGGTGCACAGCAGCCATCAACCGCAGTTCCAAAGACACAGCCTGTTTGAGGATGGTTGGTGAGAGTTGACTTTCAACGATGACTTTAATTTATTTCAAAATGATCTGTTTGGAGGTACAAACTCCCTCTTCGGCTCTATTTATGCATTAACCTCTCGTAATACTTTTCAAGTTGTACTTTTAAATTGTAATACATTCAAGTTTAAATCATTTAAATCAATTTCTCTAAATTTTACTTCGAAAAACATAATCGTGTCAATTTCTTAAAAATATATAGGTAATTCGATAGTTAAGTTTCCGACGATTCAAAACAACTGGCAACTACAAATTCTTCAGTAAAGCTTTCTACCACTGCGTATTTTGCAAATTTCAAAAATTCCCATCTCGCATAAGAAAATTTTTATATGACATACTAAGTATATTATTGCTTGAAAGATCAAAGTGTACAACAAATTAAATGTGGAATTTGGCTTCGGGAAAAATCTAAATAAATCCTGGGATATTCATCTAAACCACCCGTGTGTGTAAATTGTGCATCTAATATTTCTTCTGTCAAATTGTTTTTTCCAAACCGATTCCTTTACATGAGTTCTTAATGCCTTCGCCAATTCGATAGCTAGCGATTTTTCTTCTGAAAAATATAGTATATAAAATCGTTTATAAATTGTGTGTTTCCTATTTTACTTTCATTTAAAGTAGCTCCAGTTTGAACTCGTTCAAATTGTCCATTATGTGTTTTTTGCCTTCCAGAATGTTTCAAATCATTAATATCTAAAACGGATCTTATTATAAAGTCAGTTTATTTTTGGCACCTTTCCATTATCTGAGGCACGAAAAAAAACTCAGTCTAGGAACGAAAAATAAACCAAAATTTTGCCCCATGGGACCAAAAATTGTCTTGAGTCTTGTAATGATAGTCTAAAGTCTTGGGTCAAGTCTTGGTCTTGAAAATTTTTCAATCTTAAACATCTCAAATATTTAGAAGAGAAAAGAATAAGGGAAAATTTGACCGATAACATAAACACTATTTTTTCTTTAATTCGTTCAATTATTATGGCCAAAATCAAATGTTTTAAAAAACTTAAAAACTCCCATTTTCCTTTATAGTAGGGATTTAGAGCGTAATGGAATTTAAATCCTAAAAAATACCTTTAGCACCACTAGGTCCTATATAGAGGTTGGCCCATCCATTCAAAGAAAGTTCTATTCTATATTTGTGGTGACCTATGATTTCTTCGCAATATGCCTGAACAATTTTACTTGCAGCCATTTTTAGAAACCCCCACAGTGTTTCATATCCATCTTTTGCCATTTTACAATCTCGAAATTCAGCAAGACTATTAAATAGAAAGTTATCTTAATAACCTGAATTAAAATAACCTTTTAAGACGGACCAATTCTCGTGCATCTGTAATTCTTTCCCCATTACGTTCAGGTTTTCTTACATTTTTCCCTTCTGGTTGTAATATTCGTAACTGAGTTAAAGTTATAAATTGAGTTATTAAATCATATAAAATGCATTTACTTCTTGTTCCCTTTCATTTTGTCTTAATTCAAAAATTTTGCAAATTGTTTGATCATCTTTAGGCGATGTCTTTTCTAGTACAGCAACTAATGGTAATTGTCCTCTTACATGTGAATATTTATAAAAAATGCACTAAAAAGAATTCTAAAGAAAAATATTTTATATAAAATATACTCTTCCTGATTGATGTACAGCTGTGTAAGTATAAATGATTGTTGGTAGTGGCCATGGTGCCTGTTTTAAATCATAAATTGTTGCTTCATTTGAACTAGTAGCTGGAAGATCTGGTTCGAATCGTTTATCTTTTGATGTACTGGCATGTTGCGGACGTGTCGGATTCGATTGTATATTTCTGATGATGTTATTGGAATCGCCAGGAAAAATATTTCTCTCAAATAAAATTTTATGTTTAAATATTTTTCCTTTTTAATACCTTTGGTGGCTCACTCAAATGTGATTTATTGGTTCTAAAAATAAAATTTAAATATTTAAAATGTTAATATAACCAACTTAAAGGGGCATGTTAAGCAACGGCCAGTATTTTCATCGACTTTTGGATGACGACAACGACCACTTCCACTATTACTTTGCTTTAAATTTATAAATAAAATTTAAATTATTATAATTTTGAAATAAAAATATAAAATAGGAGTAAATTTACTTGACCTTAAATAAAGTCTCTAAACAGAATAGAACTTAATCCAAATATTTCCTTAACCTAATAAATTTGCCTATACGTTAAAACTTTTAAATTAAAAGCTTGTAATTTTCCCCATCAAAATTTCATTCATCATACGTCACTTCCAAATGCTGAATCTCTGTTTGATCTTTTTTGTACATCTTGTCTGTTAATTTGTTTTAACGGTTTTCTTTCAGACTCTCTACTTTGACTTCTACTTCTCAAATGCCCATTTTGTGAGTGTGAACAAAATTCTCTTAATTCTGGATCAATTTCATAACGTTCATCATAAAACCATTCCATAAATTTATCTTGTCTAATTTCTTAAAAAAATAAAATTTTAAGCATTAATATAAGAAAAAACTCGAAAATTGTTTTATTTAATTATTCTTCATATTTTCACACACGTTTTTTCTAACATGCGCCTAAGCTCAAATCCCAAATATTTCATCGTCGCCACTACTTAAATATAATATATTACCGTCTAAACGAATTCTAGATTTTTCGTCGCAAAGCATTGCATGCATAAATGATTTCAAATTATTCTGAATATTTGAATCGAATTTCGCTATCGAATTCCTTTTTATAAGACCATCCAAAGCATTTGAAAGTTTCAAACGTTTATCAGAATTGAATCTATCAGTTAAATAACTTCCTGTTAAAAGAAAATAAAATATTGAGCCAAGTGCAAAAACATCTGCAGCTTTTGTATATTTCCCAGCATGAACTTCACTAAAAATTTTTCTTGAATGAAAATCTTTAAATTAATAAACTAACGGAGCCATAAACGGTTCAGTTCCAAGTGTTGTCTTAAAAAGTCCTTGTTTGTTATTTGGTGTTTCTTTAGATAATCCAAAATCAGTAACTTTCTAAAAAATAATTTATTGAATTTTTTCAAAATAAGAATTACCACACGAATTCGTTTAACATCGCCATCTCTTCCTCTTTTAATTTCCCAAATTAAAACATTACTTGGTGTCAAGTCTCTATGTGCGATATCCTCATCATGAATTAATTTCAATGTCTCACATAATTGTATAAGAATATCAGTTGCTTGAAATTAGAAAATATTAAAAATATGAAAAATAAAAACCTAAAAGAACTCCCATTGGCCCGTTTTTCTTTACATAATCTCGCAAACTCCCATCTTTGCAATATTCCATAACTATATAAACAAATCCTCCAAGTTCAAAATGTTCAATGATTTTAACTACAGATCTGCCTCGTTTGTGCATTAGCCTTGTATGTATTGCAATTTCTGTTTTTGGATCAATCCTTGACTTTTCCTAAAAAAGGTGTAGAAAAAAAATTATAAATTAAAAAATTAATGAAGAGTTCCTCAATATTTTAATATAGATGGCTTAAATATTTTTCATTCTTTTTGTTAAAAAACGGCCTGAATGGAAAAATAAAGTACAAACCCAGAAATAATCTAGAAAGTCAGTCAAGTGAGCTATTATTTGCGTATTCAAATTTTTCACGCAAAAAATCAACTTATTCCCCGCTATGGTTTTCAATTTTTCTAAGCCTATATGTCGGGCCGAAGGTATTTCCGGTGGTGGAGTGGTACCGTTCGACTCAGCTCGCCGAGTCGAACGACATATAAATTGAATATAAATCGGCCACCGGCTAAGGTACATCCGGAAAAAATAGGAAAGTCATCTACTTAATTCAGATAGTGTTATTTTTTACCTTAATTTTTTTGATGGCACATAAATCACCAAGAGTTTTATCCTTGCAAAGGTAAACAGTTCCAAATCCGCCATGGCCAATTTCATGTAAAACATAGTAATTGCCCTGAAAAAAAAAAAAAGAATATTGTTGAAATTGGTTAAATTAAATACAATTTCTTTCGGAAGTTCTTTCAAGGCCATGTGATTTAAATAATTAGAAATAATTAAGTTTGGATTATCTATAATAAAATAAAAAATTAAATCTTTACAATAAAGTCAAAATGCCGGAAGAATACGGCTGAATTTTTCCGGTTTCTATGGCTGCCCATAACTTGCAAATCAGAACTCGCCAACTAGGCATCTGTTACCGGAAAAAACACATTGTTGCCGAAAACTACTAAAAATCGTTTGAACCAGAATTTAAACGGAACGTGACCATTGAGCCCCTACCAGACCGTTTGAGTCTCGCCATTTGACAATTGGCAAAAAAGAGTACGGCACAGAACGGGATCCTGTACGGGATTTTTGGGATCCCGGGGTTTAGGCGCGAACGGGATTTACGGGATTTATCCCGCGGGATCCCCGTTCATAATTTTGAAAAAAAATCCATCCCAGGTTCACGGGAATGCGATTTTGCCCAGGCATGTAGCCAGCAAAACTCTTTTTTTTGTTATTTATTTACAGTAAGGTGCAAAAGTTTGGAACATTTTGCTTTATTTTAGTAAATCGATAATTTTTCTTTAAATTTTTAATGAATGGGCTAGATTAAATTTTTGAAAATTAACTACAAGTGTTCTCTATAAAATGACACCAAATGTATCTGATTATCTTGACAAATTTTTATATTTTGCCCTGGTTACATTTTATACCCAAAAATATGTGGTGCAAAAGTTTGGAACATTTTTGATTTCACTTTATTTTGATGCCAAAATCAAAACAAAAAAAATTTATAAAAATTCGAGCAGGCACATAGATCGGTAATAAGGGAAAATAAAAAAGAACTAAGCCCATATCTCATTTCCGTATCGAGATCTCTCTACCCTGAAAATCAACGTAAATCGGAGTTTTTCATATTAAAAAAATATTTTCGACCCCTTATAGATAGTTTTGAATTTTCATTTTGGGCTTATCTTAAAGCCCTTGAAATTTGCTATAAGTGGCATTAATATAATTTTTCAGAAAAAATTTCATAGTGAGATAAGGTATATCTAAGATATTCAAAAACTTTTATCATCAATTTATAGAGGACACTTAAAGTTAATTTAAAAAAATTTAATCCAGACCATTCACTGAGAAACGAGCGAAAAACTATTGATTAACTAATTTACAACAAAATGTTCCAAACTTTTGCACCTCACTGTATTTATAATTTTCAGATTTTTCAGTATTTTTTAGTTTGACATGTATCTGAATATTCTTCCTTTAAAGAACGTTCAACTTTATAGGAATAGTGTAAGTGATTAAAAAACTAATTCTCATTTTTCCTTTCATTTATTAGTTTCGTTTGGCAAGTACTCTTGTTTTAGCTGAGCATAATGATCAAAAGTTAAATCCTTTAACATTAAATGCAGTCACTGCAGCAAAAAAAATTGGTCATGAAATTTCCATGCTCGTAACAGGAAAAAATTCTGAAGAAATTGCAAAAGAATCAGCAAAAATATCTGATATAAAAGTTTTTTAAAATTTTATTAAATACAATAAAAATTATTTTAGCGTGTCTTTTTCGCTCAAAATGAAAAATTGACAGCTAATTTACCTGAAAGAGTTTCTACAATTCTTTCAGCTGTCCAAAAACAATTTAATTTTACACACATTATTGCCGGAGCTTCTACCTTCAGTCGAGGTGTTATACCAAGAACTGCGGCTATTCTAAATGTATCTCCAATATCGGAAATAACACAAGTACATAGTGATGATTCTTTCTCAAGACCAACATATGCCGGAAATGCGATTGAGAAGGTTTTTATATTTTTAATCAAAAATAAAATGACCGCATAAATTTTATGAGAATTTTATTCATGTATCTAAGAAACTAATATAAGTTTATTATTTCTAATTTTAATTTAAGGTTAAAAGTAAAGCATCTATAAAATTGATAACAATCCGGGCAACAGCGTTTGAAGCTTCTCCTTCTAGTGGTGGATCAGCTACAATTGAAAAATGTTTTCTTCCTACTTATAGCTTAAAATAAATATTAATTTTCTAGTGCCTGACATAGAAATAAGTACTGAACTCAGCGAATTTATTGGTCAGGAACTAAGTAAATCTGAACGTCCTGAACTTGCTGGAGCTAAAATTGTTGTATCTGGAGGTAGAGGGCTAAAATCAGGAGATAATTTCAAGATCCTTTACGAATTGGCTGATGTTCTTGGTGCGGCTGTAGGTGCTAGTCGAGCTGCTGTAGATGCTGGATTTGTGCCAAACGATATGCAAGTTGGTCAAACAGGGAAAGTCGTTGCACCGGTAATGTTTTATTACAAAATATATTAATTGGACGTTGTTTAAACCTCAATTTTTGTAATTTTTCTGGTTAATTTCATTAAAATTTCAACCATCCAAAGATCATGGCACAATTTTTGAGGACAATTGATATTAATTTGGTATAGAATAATAGTAAAGAATATGTAGGACTTAATTTTAGGCCAGAAATTATCTTACTCCCACTAAGATTTTTGACCATTTCGAGCCCTATATCTTGGGCCAAAGCAAATCAAGATTATCCGGTAAAGTACACTAATGCCAAATTTTATTAAAATAAGATAATAATTATGCATAAAATAACATTTTAGCAACTCTACATTGCTGTTGGTATTAGTGGAGCGATACAACATTTAGCGGGAATGAAGGATAGCAAAGTAATTGTAGCAATTAACAAGGACAAAGATGCCCCAATTTTTCAAGTTTGATTTAGTTAAAATTAAATTCCTAACTTGTCTTAAAAGGTTTCCGACTTCGGCCTTGTAGCAGATTTGTTCAAAGCAATTCCGGAGTTAACACAAGAATTAAAGAAATAAAATTAAAAGTAGATATATATATAAATAAACAAATTTTATGTATTGCGATTTAAAGGTTTATTTTATAAAATTGGAATTTAGTGACAACAACTCGACTTTTCTCATTTAGAAAAATTTAATAGTGAAAAACGAGATATAGATTAATCTAAAATGAAAAAATAGTTGGATTCTCCTCGGTATTTTTTTAGGGAATGTATCGCCTATTCAGCATATCGGTTTTTAAATTATAAATTTTTGTTCGTTTTTCCCTGCTCTACACGAAGGTGCAAAAAAATACAAAATTTTTACATACATTTAGAAATTTTCCCTTGTTACTTTTACATAAGAGCTTGAAGAAATGATTGACAGTAAAGAGGAAAGAGTAATCCGCGGCTCAGATAGGGGATAGAATATTAAATAAATACCCTTTCCTGATTTACTAAGAAAAATTTAAAAAAAAAACAGATTTTTTGTGTAAAAATTAACTAGCAAACTTCCATTCTTGTCTGCAAAGAGGACAAACAGATTTTTGTCCATTTTGAGTATTTGTCCATTTTACAATACAATGCATATGAAAAGCATGAGTACATGAACCCAATGCCTTAAAAATTTTATTTTTATGATTTATTTAATATTAAATTTACTAATGGGCAATCATCCCCTGGAAATCTACAATCAACACAGCAAGTCTCAAAGGAAGTTCTACAAATTCCACAATTATCACCCTTTCCATCCATCCAACGCCATTCACCGACTAATTTCAATCTTTTTATTTTAATTTTCAGACGAGTTTTTGTAGGTAATTCGAGTGGAGGCTTTTCTTCAAAAAATTCTAATGGTTCGAATATAGCTGGTTGAGGAGATTGTTTACGCTTAAATTTAGGTAAAAGTTATGATTGTGTCCCCTAATTTTTCTCAACTGGCCCTCCCAAATTTTTTCCCGACCTCCCCTCTAGTTACGGGCCTGCTAAGAGAACTTTAAAAAGCAGGATTAATTAAAGTATTTTTTGTGGGAAATATTCAAAAATGACTAAAATATACCCAAATATGATAAAAAATTAACCAAATTTTCATTATTCGCAGCAGTTATTGAAAAAGAAGATTGCATAGACCCCCCAGGTGTCCCATCATTTCTCTTAAAATTTGCTTTTAAATCAAAAGTCTAAATCAAAAAATTACTGGTTCAGCTTCCTCTGCATCAGAAATTGACAAAATCTCTCCTTGAAAAGCATCAGTACCAGCATAAATTGCTAAAAAAATTATAGAAAATAATTTTTAAACAAAATTAAAACGTGATAATTCAATAGATCCTTCATGATTAATTCCTCGATTCTGTCCAGAATCACTCCAAGCTTCCATATCCTCATTTGGTTGAAGTGGTGTTTGAGGTGAAGGTAATCTTAAATAATTAATTAATTTGTATTTTAAAATTTTGAAAAGAAATTTTAAAAACATTAATAATTAATTAATGATTTGTGTGTAAAAGGTTAAAATTTTTGGTCAAGTAAATTTAATCTATTTTTCCAAAAAGAAAAAACATGTGATCTAATGCTAAATTATTTACCAAAAATATTTCATAAATTTTAATAAAAAATAAATATATACGATTGTCCATCATTTGACATTTGTTCATCTTCAGAAGAAGAATTGAATATCATTACAAAAATATTAATTTAAGCTGAAAAAGAATTTAGTTTTTTAATAATTAATCTGTATCAAATCAAGGTAATTTAGAGTACGTCCGAAACCGAGCGAGACAGATATGTTCTGTTTTATACGTCAGTTCCTAATCTCAGGGTTTCCTAATCTCGATCTAAAAATAAAAAGCGAAATGCGAAACTTTTCGCGCTGAAAAATGTGAAAAATGCAAAATAGCCGAAACAGATTTTAAACCCCCTATTGAGTTTATTATTCTTTATAATTCCTTCGAAAAATTTAAAAAATAGATTTCCTGGTTTATTTTTAATTGGATTGACTATACATAATATAGTATGTAAATAAAAATATATACCAAAACATTTCCAAAACAAAATAATGTTTTTGGTACAGGAAATTTGCCTTTCAAAAAGCATAGAAAAGAGGGAAAGGTTTGGAGGAGGGGATATACTTTCTTATTCTTTTAATTTTCTATTTTCTTTTAAAATAATAGTTAAAACATCGAGAATAAGCTTTCCATGCTTTTGTGGAAATAAATAAACATGTAAAATAATCCCAATATGGAAAATAATCCAATTAATTTCGCTATACTATTTTTGTTTGAGTTAAATAATTATTAATGGCCGGCTGGACCTGATCTCCAAATTAGGGTTTTTTCGTGATCTTTGGATTGTCTCCGGACAGGATTAATCCAGAAAAATCTGGCTGGATCCAGTCCTGCTTATCCTTATCCATTCTAAATCCAGTCCAATCTTGCCCCGGCTTCGACTTCGGCAAATTTCTTAACAGGATTTGAAATTTTGCCATTTTTCTTGATTTTTTTACAAGATAGAAAGTTACATATAAAGAGAAATTATTTTTTATTATTTTTTTTATATCTTTAAAAAAAAGGATGAAAAAATATAAAAAAAAGCCTGAGTCGCTAAAAGGTTGAAACTTTCTTAGAAATTTTAATTTTGTATTTGTAAAAACTTCGATTTTTTCTAAGAGCAGTTCTTGATCACATTATTATAAACAAAATTTTAGATTAAATAGATCAAAGCTTATTTTTTCCCGATCTTTTTATTTTAATTATTTAAATTATTCTTTTAATTAATTTTTTCTTCGCAATTCTCTTATGTATTTTCTAGCCCCTTCTACTATCGGAATTAGTATAATTTTATTTGTAAAGATAGTCCAAAGACTGGCTGGCAACAAAAATTCAATTTGCACGCATTTTGGCATTAACTCCAACCCAAATTTATTTTTGGCTGGTAGCTCATTTTGTGTGTGTGTGGTCGTTATTTTTGGGTATTTTTAGTTTTTACTGACTAAGTCCAAAAATTCCTTCACTTCCGTTGACTGACTGCAAAAGGCCAGTTCTACAGCACTTCACTCACGCTCGTTTCTATTCATAAAATGCAATTATTTTGTATTTTTTTTCGTGATTTTCGATTTCAGTCAAATAATGTACTATGTTTTTAATTATATACTTTTTTGGTCCAAAACTATTTGAGCCTCAAGCATGAAAAAGTGTCAGAAAAAGGAAATTGGGTTGATGAGTGGGATTGAGGAAATTAAGGTTTAAAAAGTGAAAGGAATATAAAAAGGAGGAAAAAAGAAGGTAGTACTAAAAATAATTGGGTGTGAGGGGATGGGGGAGGTTATGTTGAATATATATTTGACCTAGGAATTTTTTTGGGAATTTTTAAACGAACTCAAATACCAAGCCAAGCCATTACCGCTTGAGGGGGCGACGGCGCCACAAACGGCCGACGAGCAGTTAATGGGGCCACCCCCCAAAGGTAGTTAATGCCGATGCCGTTCTTTCCTTTCCCTTTTGGTTGGGAAATATGCAAACACCTTAGATTTTTTTCTAGAGAGAGTCTAGCGAAGGAAAATTCTCTCATAATATCTCGACATTCTCGATCATCTTTTAAATTTGTCCTTTCATTTTCCAAAAAAATCTTAAAATACCCATTTACAGTAAGGTGCAAAAGGTTGTTGGTGCTGGAAGAAAAGGTACTTAAATTAAATATTAAGGGGGTAGTTAATCTATTTATAATATCCATAAAAATTTTTCCGATACTTCTGTTATTAAGAGATTATGCATGTCAAAACCGGTATACCATTAATTTTTAGGGAGCAAAATTTATGACGACTATAGGAAAAATTTTTGGTTTTTCTCATACTGTATCTACTATTGTTAAATAATATTTCAATTTATTAAATTAAATAAATTTTTTACGTCAAAATTCCGTTTTTCAATAAAAAACAAAGTTTTGTATAAAACTTTAATTATAATTTTAATTAAAAAAATTAATTCCTAAATTTATAAAATTTATAATTTTTATCTAAATATTGAAGGAATAAATGGATAGATTTACTAAATAATCGGAAATCTCCAAGTTTTGTTTCTTTTTATCAATTTTTAGTTTTATTTTTGTCTAAATATAAATTTATTTATTTATCATTCTCTAAAAATACTTTAAAAAAAACAAAAAATATTTTTCTTTAAAAAAATAAAAGTACAAAATAGCTATAAATATATATATATACTTTTATTATTTTTAACACAAAGACAATCATTAATTTAAACAAAAAAGTACCTACCTATTTTTTATTTTGCCTATAAATTTACTCATTGTGTGGTCATTCAATTTATTCAAACAGTTGACGGTTAGAATAAGGCAATTTTTTTTCACTTTTTTTTTATTATATAAAATTCTTTGTTCTTTAAATATTTTTTTCTCTTTACTTTTTTAGTTAAATTTAATTTTTATTTCAAAAATATTTAGAGGTTATTTAACCTAATTATTACTGATAATTATTCATTTTTAGTATTAATATTTTTAAAAATTCACAATTCCCCGTCTCTTGGGTAAAGGATATCCACGTCCCCCCTAACCGTAAATTACGAACTCTACTAGTCTAAATAATTAATTTATATTCCAAATACACAACAATATATCCCTAAATATATTTTTAATTTTAAATAAAAATAAATACAACAAAATATTCATATATTATAATTTAAATTTGACACTTCTTTTGTTAATAAAAAAATAATGAAAAATTGCCTTTTAAATTATAAGCAAAAATTATTATTATTCTATTTTGCATTCTTCCTTTTTTTAAAGAAATTGACAATTATTTTTACAAAAAATTGAAGAAGAGTTATTTTAAATAAATATAATTTGAAATTAATAAAAAAAACAAAATTGTGTACATATTTATTTATAACACGCAAAGAAATTTTTATAAAAATTTTTTTTCAATTTCCAGAAAATAATTTAAAAATGCATTTAATTATTTTATTAAAATAAATGTTGGGTTTGGGTTCCGAAGCCTTTCGAGGATTATACAAATTCTACTCTTTAAATAACTTTATTTACATCTAACTATTTACAAATTAAAATATATACATAAGGGAGGGAAAAGGGGACAATTACAAGAGTCTGGCCAGACCTGATAAAAACACTTCTAATTAGATTTGAATGACCATTTTGGATGAGTATTTATAGGGGACATTAATAAGTCGAGATTGGCGAAAACAAGTGAATAACAAATATTAAGATAAGGGTCGGGAATTGTGATAGACTCTGATAACGGTCGGGATTCCTTTTAATATAGAAAGAGGTCAAAATATATGTGCCTGTGAATGCATGTGAATGCAACATTTATTTTTAGTTTGTTTATTTGATTAGGAGGGATACAGCATTCCTTCCCCCTTCGAAAAGAACGTCCACGTTCTACTTTTCGGGAAATTTGCTAAGGCTGCCTTTTTAATTAACTGCTTTTCTTTAAACTAACTTTTCTCCGATTAAACGGGTGGCACATTAATTTTCCTTTAATAAGGGTAATTTAGGATTATTTTAAAATATATATTTTTTTAATTTTAATTCTCTAAGCATTATTTTTATTTTCTCATAGTACAATTATGAACGACGGTTTTTTAAAAAATATTTCCTGACTTTTTTTTTTAATTTTATATTTTTTCTGACCGAGCTTTATCGTTAAAATTTTAATATTTTTTTTTGTATTATATTTTAAATTTAGTATTGTTTCTCGTCTTTATGACGGCAGCGGATTTATTTTTACTACATTTAAGTAATTATTATAAAGGCTTTAATTCTCTTTCTAATGTGTTTTTGTTTTACTTCTTTTACCTCCATGTTCTCCGACGAATTAAGTAAACACTGATGAGGAAAGAAATATTACATTACAGAACTAATGATTATTTAGGGGATATTTTACATAGGTACAGAAATTTTTGGGAAAATAAACTGAAAACAAGGTGAGGGAAAGTTGGGATAATTAGCATAAATAAATTAAACGATTTTATTTAAATTCATTCAAAAAGCAGCAATTTAGTGGGGTCTTTCAAGTTGCAGAACAAATTTTTTGTTGATATATAGATGACCAATCTTCAGCTGATACTCCAGTTTTGTGAGTTGATTTTACTGCAGGAGATTGTGTTGTTATCGTTGCTGGAAGTTGTATCCTTCTGATGATTCTGTCGATTCTCCCAATTTTAAGTGGGGGATTTTTCTCTGCTAGTTTTTCTCGGCTTTTGTTTCTCGGTTTTTTAGTTCCCGGTTTTGTACTTCCCTCTCCATTATTAAAAAAAAATTTTTTTTTTTTTTTAGTCAAGTCCTTGTTTTTTTTTTAGAATGGGCTTTTGCTATTTTTTAGGGATTACTCTTTTTATTTTACTCTTCGTGCAGCTTTGAGTCCGGCTCAAGTTGATGATCGACGGCTATCTAAAAACTCCTGACCCAAACTAGTTCACTATGTAAAGAAATTAGTGTTTTTCTCGGCGTGAGCATAGTTGATAGTACAGTTGATGATACTTATGGTTATTTATCCTTGCCGGTGTCTTAGCATATCCAGTTGTGTATTATTTATTTACTAGACATATGATGACCCGTTAGAAATATCTCATTGTATCTTTTATCCCTTTTATTCAATGACTTTTTTGTACATAATATTTTACTGAATTCACGATACCAGTTGGATGACA